TAGCAACTGTGAAATTATTCACTGAAATCAGCAGACACAAGCAGGCAGTAGTAGTCAGTTCAGTTCAGCTTCCCGATAATTTCACGTACCTTGTCAGTTGTTCCTGCCCTCCCACTTCCCTCAGAATGTGTCAACAATCACCCACAGGTTTACACCCACTCACCCCAGTGATAAATTTCCTTTTTTTTAAGGTACTGGAAGTCTAGCCTTTCTGAAAGCTGCTGTTTCTGATTCTCTTTAGAAATGGTAATGACTCACTGGATAATTCAGAGGTGCTCTTGATTTATATTATAACATGCATTAACTGCAAACTTGTCTTATAATTACCAAATTGTTTCTTTTGTTAGAAACTTTTGTAAAGCACAGAAGCCACTGTCCCAAGTATTTGCAATATAAGATTGGCAACAATAGGTATAAAAATAGAAAAAAAATTGTTCCAGAGAAGTAAAAAATTTATATGAGACAGACTGCAAGCAGAATTCATCATATTATGTCAACAATCCTGTAAAGGGAGAAACCTGAAAAATAAGGCATGAGGGAAGATAATTAAAAATAAAGCCCAAGGCTCAACAGAGAGCAACAGAACAGACAATAAATAATATTGGCCTAGATCCTGATATAAAGCCTCCAATGAAATCAAAGGGAGTTGAGCTTATTATATACAACCCATTTGTTGGGTTCATTCAACATAGTTAATTCAGGTTACACAACCAACTGTTGTATTTATTTAAACATTACAGCCAAATATAACATATTATGGCTTAACCTAGAAGTCTGCTGCATCAGCATATCAAGACTGTGGCATGATACACTGAATCCCTGACTACCCATTCCCATTTTACAGTCTTGTCTCATGTATTGAAAGAGAAAATTTTATTTCTGAAACCATTTTTGAAAGAGATTTAAGCGCACATCCTCTTCACAGCATCACTTTCCTAAGCTTTAAAAAAAAGTTCTAGTGTTCAATAGAAATATTACAGCTTACCTTTAAATAGGATTAATTCTGGGAAGGAAAAAATAATTGGATTAATATGTAGCAGCAAATACAGAACATCTTTTTGTATTTAAAAAAAAATAAAACACATTTATTATGACAGAAAGATATATGAAAAAGAGAGAGAGAGAGAGCATGTGCAAAGTCAAGATTTGTTATAATCCATTTTTGGTCATTACAAATAAATGAATCAGTATATCAACTATATTAAAGGTTAAAACAAATGTATTTATTTATCTTTCATGGAATGGGAGGATTTGATGCTGCTAAGTTGGACTGTCCAGCCTTGGGATGCAAGGTTTGTCTACTCAGCATATTCGGGGGGGAAATTGGCAGAGCCAGGACTTGAAAAAAAAAAAAACTTGTGGTGTAGCCAGCTCAAGGTTCAGAAGCAATGGCTGGGGGTGTCAAAATAAGAAGCCCAAGCCTATTGCTGCCTGTCTGCCATCCGCCCCATCCCTCGCTGCAGCCGAACTGCCGATTCAGCATTTGGGGCAGACCCAACCTATTGTCACCACCTTCTGAAAGCCCATTCATTCATCTGGCTCTCCATCCAGCACCCACAATGACTTTTCCTTGCAGCAACTTTCTGGTGTCAAGATGTCCTGCAAAGAAATGGCAGTACTGAGTTGGCAGAGGAGGGTTGGCGGTAGTGAAGCTGCCCCTTGCTGGCTGAGCTAGCAGTATCAAGTCATCATAGACCCTACCTATCAGGTCTGGGGCAGGATTATTTCAAATTGGAGCACTTGCCCAAAATTCTGATTTCAATGTATAAATTGCTTTGCACAGACTAATATTCCACTACAGATTGTCCTCGACTTACAACCACAATTATATTCAAAATTTCTGTTGCTAAGTGAGACATTAGTTAAGTGAGCTTTGCCCATTATGCTACTTTTCTTGCCATAGTTGTTAAGTGAATCACTGCAGGTGTTAAGTTAGTAACATAGTTGTTAAGTGAATCTGGCTTCCCTAATAACTTTGTCAGAAAATCCTATGATTCCAGGACATTGCAACTATCATAAATATGACTCAGTTGTCAAGCATCTGAATTTTGATCAGGTGAATATGGGGGTGCTGTAATGGTCCTAAGTGTGAAAAATGATTATAAATCTTTTTTTTCCCCAGTGACGTTGTAACTTTAAATGATCACTAAATAAATGTTGTAAGTCGACTATAGCTAAGCATGACTCTCAGCCTCTACTAGAGGATTACTCGCAAATTAAAAGTCATTTACAGGTTTCATAGTTACTTGGTTTATTCCAGTATTTCATCCTGAGTGACAAGAACAGATCAAACCCGATCAAAGTTAGCTCTGAGAGCCTCTGAGCATTTAATATACCCTTGTTAATCCAGCCCCTCCCAGCTGTTCCCGCCTGCCTAACATCTGCCATAGTATCTAACACCCTGCACCTACATCCCATGCCTGTTTCTTGTTGCCTAGCCCTATGCTTGTGTTTTCCCTGTATTCATCCACCCTCACTTCTTGTTCCATTCCCACCTATCCGTTCCCCCAATGTGTGTGGTGTTCTCAGCAGGTCCTTTTCTAGCCCAGCTATCCAGTCACTCCCCCTTTCAGGTTTGTTCCGATCTTCGCGATCTGCATGGTCGTCTGGGAGGCTGGTAAGTTGCCCACGAGATCGGCAGTGGCGATCTAGGAGGCTGGTAGGATCGACGAGAGTGACTATCCGGGAGGCTGGTAATGCCATTATCCATAATTGCAGCAGTGCTCCATCCGACACGCTGGCTGGTCCCTCTGATGTGTCAAGCTCCAGATTGGGCGGCAAGCCCAGTTGGACTGCGGAGCCTGACAGTGACAAGCCTATTTACCAAATGATCTCATCTTTCCCAAGAACCAGCTTATGGCCTACAAACTGTGTCCCACTGGCCCTTTTTCTTGCAGCCTAGGTAATGGGTAATGAGTAATAGATTCAAAGAGTGTTTGACAAGCAAGTCCTAAACCGGGATTGTTTTTCTCCACAGGAACAGAATGAAGCATAAGAGCGTCCATTCCAATCATAGCCTACCAACAAATTCTTCCAGAAGCTGCAATTGATCTATTAATAGCAAGAGTCATATCTTTTTATTTCTCTGGAGAACTAAAATATCCCCGAGATGGATAATTGTGAACTAAGAATGAAGCAATTTAGGTTATGACAGAGCAAAAAAGGCTTAAAGCTCATGTGATTTCAAGAACTGGTTCCTGGCACTCTCTTGCAACAGAACATGTCGCAACAGAACAAGCATATATATTGAAATGTTTGCTGTCTCATCCTTTTTAAAAACATAGGCTTCTGACTGGTTGCAAAATTCACTCTGTCCTCTCTAAACCATGTACAAGTAAATACCCACTGTTCCCTCTAAACCATGTACGAATATCTTGCCAACCATTTTGAAACACCAGAATATTCAAATTATGCCAGACAAATCTGATCAATGGAGATCTTTTGAAGCACACACTGAGAGCAGCCAAGCTGTATTAATAGAAAAAGGAGACAGCTCTGCATGCCTTCGAACTCTATCCCTCTCAACTGATTTACTGATTCCCATATAGACTGCTCCAGTTTGCAAATAACTGATTTAATGTGATATTAACACAGATCAATTTTCAGCCTGATAACTGGGTAATTCTGGGAGTTGAAGTCCTCACATCTCAAAGTTGCCAAGTTGAAAAATGTTGACACAGACGGCCTTAAAGCATTTTATTAAAATGAACACACTCCTGTGAACAAGACTTCATAAGATACATGGACAATGTCATCCACATCTGTCCCTAAGCAACTGCTATCTAGACATATAATCTACCGCTTCTGTAGGATGTTTAATTTCCATTGGATAGGCTGGCTTTTTGACTCCATTTTATACTTTAACAGCAATATTTGTTGTTCATTTCTTTTTTGATTTAAGACATTAAAGCACAGCTTCTTTTGGGAAATTGTGCACATACCTTTGAGTTGAAAATGGTCAGATTGATCCTCCTATAGCTAAGCAAAAATAGAAGGAAATGCTTTATTAAGGACTAGAGATATAAAGTTGCAGTCACTGCTATTGTACAAGCCTTCTTCAAATCTCTCCAAAGTGTGGTACTCTCCAATATGGACATCAATTCCTACAATTCCCTATTCAGAATTGTCATTGCTGAGAATTTTGGGAATTAAAATCCATAAATTTGCTTAGGAAAGACTGGCATTTACTTTTGGTGAGGTTCAATCCCAGCAAAAATTTTATCATGTTGGAATTTATCCTGGAAGATTAAAGAGACAGAGCCCATAGACTAGCATGGGTCACAAAAGGCAGCAGAGTCAAATGTATGGATCTAATAATTCAATGAAAATGAAGAATCTGGTATTAATAAAAGAGATGGGAACATGAGGCAGCTTCAAACTGGAGTATTTCAGAATTCTGAAATATAGAACTGACATGGTGTAAGGGCTTTGATGCTGAAATGGCACTGAGGAGGCCTAGATTTAAATTCCACTCTTGGCCATGAAATCTCACTGGACGACTACTAATTATTTTAGCCCTTCCTACTGTGCAGGTTTGTTTTGCAGAGGAAAATAAAAGGAGGAAGCACTATGTGTGCTGCCCCAGCTCATGAAAAAAAAAGGAGAAATATATATCAAATAAATAAATTTCCCAAGAGTTAGTTTGTTTAAAGAAAACTTTTTCACTTTTGTGGGTGGAAAGTTGTGGGTTGAAGTTTTATAAGCAAAGGGATAGCAGAATTAAACTACTACTCTGATTGTAGTGGATGGGATTGGACTTCAGCATAATTGAAGGGGAATCATCATAGTGAAACACCAAACCTGAATACATCCCAAAGATTAAAACAGCAACAACAATAAAAAAGAACTTTACCTAGTAACTGATTCCAGAATTTAGCTTTTGGAATTACCTGTTTTATAGTATTTTTTTTTCTATGTTCCTAAATTTGTGTTCACTCTCTTCTCTTAATCTCCCTCATCCATCCCATCCCCCAAATTAAAAAAACACAAGACATTACAGGTGACTTCAACTGTTTTAATACATAACAACAATTAGTTGATGAGGAAAATACGGAAAACTTTACTGCATATTATAGTTGTCAAAACGGTTTTTTTTTTTGCATTTTACACAATAGCAACAGCTATAATTTCAGTTTCCAATAAAAAGTGTTGATTTTACACCCTCTTGTAAGGTTAACACATCAAATCAAAGATCACTCTTTAAATGCCAATGAAGTGCCCTGAAGCCTGCACGTGAAAGATTTTCAAAAAAGTGCACATTTATTTAACACAACACAACACGACACCCACAGCATAAATTTACATCTTACAGAGGCATACAATGCTAGATTCATTGCTGTATCTAAACACACACAAACAGAAGGCAGATGTTACCCTCAAGCAATTCCTATTTTCAAGGCGAATCTGTCCTAAAAACATATATATTGCTACTACTGCTCCTGTAAAGTTACCACACTCCCTTGAATTGTTCAGCTCTAGATGTGCCAAGAGTAGCCAAGTTTTTCCTTACAGCAGTAATATATGTCAAGGTCATGTGAGAATGGAGGTGAAAGATTCTGAGTTTTCAGCTCAGAGCTTTAGCCAGTGTTATTAAATGTTTTATTAATTAATCAATCATGTAGAGCAAAACAGAGTCCAGCTATAACAGGGTAAGCAAGTAAGCTGCTCCTCTGCCTTCTCTTTTCATCTAGGAAAAGAAATTTCTGACAATACCAAAATGCAAAGGGTTTTTTTTGGGGGGGGGGGGGGATTTTCTAGTTTACGCTTCAAATGTTACCAAAAATATGGTTTTCAGGGATTAAAATTACATTTAAAATATGGAAAAAGTCCTGCACAGAGGCAGATGCTTAAAATATCTGTCAAATGATAGTGAAGGTTTTTTCTGGTACATTGTCATCCCTTTGATTTATGATTTAACTGAGAAAAAAATACAGGGATGCTAGCATTTAAGCAGGTTACTGCAAACAAGACTGTTTTTTCGATTACAACTTTTGTACTTAGCAAATTTAATCTGTAGGAAATATAAATGTCCTTTTGAAAGTCTAAACGAAAGTGTGTTGGATGGATGAATAATCGAGCCCCCTTTAATCATCAAGTTGTCAGAACAAATGTATGCAATATAGGTGTTTCCCCAAATCTGAAGTAATAGGACTAGAAACATGGATTTTTTTTTTCTTTTAGACACCATGGTTTTGGGGAACAAGACAACTTCAGATCACCAGGACATCCTTCTCAATGATCACAAACGTTCCTCTGTCAGCACTTGTGGTATAAAACCAAGGACTTATCTAAAACTTGCCCAAAGTACAGTTTAATTTTGCTAGCAATTCCCCCACCCCTGAAATTCTCTGAGTATCCTCTTAGGATTTTCTTCCTTCAATAAAAACTTTAAATGAATAAAATCAAATTATTATCACTAGAATATTATGGACACAATGGAAAACTAGACACACATGCAGTAAAGGTCTGGATTTAGTGTCACACTTCCAGGTATTATGTCTCCAAGATGATTATTCATCAAATTTCCCATCACGGATACTGTCAAATGAGAAAGGGAGAAACTTGAACCCGGTACCCATGTAGAATTTATTCTGGAATTCCACCCTGTAAGAAAAAGACAGATGAAAAGCACTCATTAGTTGCCCACTATCTTATATATTAGAAATTTCTTTAAGAATCCAAAGTAGTACTGACATTTTATTTCCTAAACAGAAAGTAATCATTTAGCAACTGCATTGGATAGCACCATTCAGAATATGACAGTAATAAATGTTAGTATGTTGCAAATAATGTGCATACTTACACCTTGCACCTTACAACAATGCATGCTGGAGTTACAATAATGCTGGTGTTACTGCAAGAGAGAACTCTACCTGAATGTGATCATAGCAATCAGTAATCTTTACTTTGTGTCTCTGTCTCTTTCGGTTACCTGGTTCATTTAGCAATCACTTCACTAGAACCCATTGTGATTGCTAAATGAGGCCTATCTGCAAGTTCTTCCTATGATGCTTACATTTATTACATTACATATACTGTTCCAAATATCCTATGAGCTGGATCCATTTGCAAAAGATTAAAGTTGCATGAAATGCCAATAGAGAACTACAAGCAAGGACATATGTAATGGCAGTGAGGACAGTGACAACTTATTCAGTAATGCAGTTTTCTCCAATGAGGCGCTCACCAAATATGCTGATATTGCAATTTCCAAAATATCTAGTAGCATCGCGTTGCAGCCTAGGAATTCAGGACGTTGCAATACCAACATGCCTGGATGTTTCCAGATTGAGGAAGACTCCTCTATGCTCTAGTATGTTAACAGTCCTAAAAGATCCCTGCAGGACTGCCAAATGTTGAATGACCTTAATGTTATTCCCCAGTGAGAAAAAGTATAAAAACTTTATTTTATAATGGAGAGTAACAACTCCTTTTTAAAAGATTAAATAGACACATGCAAGACACATACTCGTATAGGCAAACTGTTGTACTTATTGTCAAAATTCCTATCAACTAAATGAGGTGGTCCAGTCACCATCTTCAGTCTCAATTCATTGTTTCTGTAAACAAAGAGTCAGTAGTGTTCAGACTCGCCATCTACTCACTGGTGAAGTGAATCCAACCTTCGGTACCCCCCCAAAGAGTTTCTTATACTACATTATGGTTGGTTCTCTCTACCCCTCTATCAGGTTAACCACTGCAACACAATATCATGTAGATAAGCTTCCGGTGAATATGCATTCACACACACACACAAACATCCACACAAACACCCACCCACCACAGACATTGTGGATTATGTAAGCATCATTATTTTTATATTAATTTTTTGTTTGCATGTATATTGAGAGCATACACATTGGAGACAAATTCCTTGCATATCCAATAACACTTGGCCAATAAACTATTCTACTTTATTATTTTATTCTGTTCTGTTCTCTATTCTTTCTACTTCTATTATATTTCTGCTTCTATTTTTTATTTTATGCAAATTATTGTACTTTCCTTTCTCTGTGACTCTGGAAATGAAGCAGGAATGGATGAGTTTTTATTTCTCCAGTTCTGTTTCTGTCTGACTTTACCAAATAAATTATAGTATAGCTAGATGCTCCATCAACCAGGAGGCAAATATTAAAAATGTCATTTTCCATTTTAGTTCTTTCAGGCCACCTCACCCATGAAACTTTGCAAAAGTATTACATTTTTTCATTGTAGTAATATCATTAGTTACCAATAAGCCAACCCAAGATCAAAGCTACATTTGCTCCTTAACTTATAAGTTTATAATCAGACACTATAACAATAAGTTACTTTTAAAATACATTTGACAAATCAAAAAAATATATAGTTTATATTTTATAAAATATAAGCAGTGCTAGAATGGAATAGCTCAAAATACAGGTAGTTCTCAACTTACGACAACAATTGAGCCCAAAATTTATGTTGCTAAATGAAACGTTAGTTACATGAGTTTTGTCCAATTTTATGACCTTTCTTGCCACAGCTGTTAAGTGAATCATTTCAGGTGTTAAGTTAGTAACATAATTGTTAAGTGAATCTGGCTTCCCCATCAATTTTGCTTAAATTTTGCAAAAGGTGATCACATGACCTCAGACACTGCAATTGTCATAAATATGAGTCAGTTGACAAGTGTCTGAATTTTGATCATGTGACCGTAGGGATATTGAAATTGTCATAAGTGTGAAAAACGGTCATTAGTCACTTTTTTCAGTGCCATTTGAACAGTCACCAAAATAACTGTTGTAACTCAAGGATTGTTGTACCTTGTGCAATTGAGATATACTGTCTCTGGTCTTGTTTTAAGTCTTGTATACCTCAATTGCACAAGAGAATTGCTATACCCATCTAAAGTTCTAGGAAAGAAGAATCTTAAATTCTCCTCCCAACTTTTCCTTCATCTTTATGTCAGAATATTTCTCTGCTAAGCTACAATTTTCACTAATTTTAATTCTACCCAGAATATAAAGAGAATTATACTGAAAGGCTGCCCAATCATAAACAGGCATCAAACATGGAAAGAAAAACTCCATGATTCATTAAAAAAACAGGTCTGGTGATCTTCTTTTGGCTCCAGGTAGGAAACATTTTCCACCCTTTTTGCCTGCCAGGTTTTGAGAAAATTCAAAATATTATTTACTGCTTTTCCACCTTAATGGAACATTTTAAATACTGGCCTCTTTTTAGAAATAACATCCATTTCACTTCTTGTACTAAAATACACATGCTTTCTCAGGGACAGAATGTAACGAGGCTCTAAGGAACAAATAAAACTTTCAGTTAGTTTGTAGGTAAATGTGAAACTACAGAAAACAAAACAAATGGGAGAGACTTGATTCATTCATGTATCAGTTTGAATTACTTTGCAAACTCTACATTGGTATAATTCAAGGTTTGCTAGTGTCACTTAACTCTGTTCACTACAAGGATATCAAAGTTAGGCTAACCTAGCCAAATATTCGATTATGTTAAAAGAAATGTGACAAAAAACAAAAAGCTATCACCTAAACTTCTATAGTTAGCAAAACAGCTTATCAGAAGAACAATGTTCAACCAAACTTTTCTTCCTATATGTTATTTTAGTTACACATGTTTTTTGTTTGTTAAGAATCATTCAATTGTATAAGCCCCACTTGTAACCTGAAATGTTCCAGATGCATATTTTCCATCACGGCCTATATGCAACTATATCCTAAATCAGGAACCCAGTTGAATATCCTCCCTGGAGGCCAAGGACGAAAATGTCAATAAACTGTATAGATAGTCCTTGACTTACAACCATTTGTTTAGAAATAATTCAAAGTTAACACTGAAAAGAGTGACTTATAACCAGTCGTTGCACCTATGATCATCATAGCATCTCCACAGTCACATGATCAAAATTCCCAGGGTCATTTGCAACATTTCTAATCAGCTTCCAATAAGCAAAGTCAATGGGAGAAATCAGGTTCACTTAGTCACCATGTGATTTATTTAACAACTGCTGTCGTATATTTAGCAACCGTGGAAAAAAAAGGCTGTAAAATTGGTTACCACTCATTTAATGAATGGCTTGCTTAGCAACAGAAATTCTATCTCAATTAGTGGTTATAAATCAAGGATTACCTGTACAACATTTCTGATTTTTTGCAGCCAAAATTCAGTAATATAATTACTAAAGATTACGAAAACAAAACAAAAAGGGTGAGAATGAGAAGCACATCTGGCTAATTGGCTACCCACCCCTACCTAAATCAAGGGATCAGATTAAATCAGTAGTCAGATCAAAGTTGTCTTTCCATATTCAGAACAGAAGTTTAACTTTTACACTGAGCATATATTGAATTCCAGCTACAAAAACAACATGCAGGACAGAAACTCTTTGCTTAAATGGCAAACAAGGAAGAGTGGGCAGCCTACTAGTAAATAAGTGGAGGATGTGGAGTGCAGAGAATGGGACGGAAGGATCTAGAATTTATCTTACTGGATGCAACCTCTCACGAAGTGGGGGCGGGGGGGAATCTTTGCAGAGCAAAGGGAGGCTCCCTAAAGCAGCTCAGATTCACCTTTGCTCCTCTTCCCCTATCCACAGCACTCCCACTTTCTGTTGCCATTCTGTTCAATCCATTAAAGTTATCAATTTCACAAACAGGAGAACCAACTCTGCCTAGGACCTAGAGGAAAACAAAAACCCCACATTTTACTTCTCTTCATTTGTCGAAGCTGCTGATTGGCAGAGTTGGGGGAGAGGGGGGGCAAAAGAAACAGTCCCATTGGTCAACATTAAAAGTTGCACAAAACTAAGAGTCAATGAGCTTTCAAGACCAAACATCTGTGGCAACTAGCATTTGTGATTGAACATCAGATAAAAATGGTATGAAATGCAACCAAACGGGAAGAGTGTTTACTAGCAAAAAGCAAGCAGCAATCCCGTTCAGAAATATTTAAGAATTGCTGCAATGCTACTGACAGCAAGAGAACAGAGAACAATTAGCTTTACAGCCACAATAAGCAGGAGATTGCTAAATGAATTTTGACCCATTATGCTACTTTTCTTGCCACAGTTGTTAAGTGAATCATTGCACTTGTTAAGTTAGTAACAAGGTTGTTAAGTGAATGTGGCTTCCCCACTGACTTTGTCAGAAAAGTCGCAAAAGGTAATCACATGACTCCAGGACACTGCAACCATTATAAATATGTATCAGTATGCCAAACATCTGAATTTTGATCATGTGGCCAAGGGAATGCTGTGAAAAAGGGTCATTATAACTTAAAACAGTCACTAAATGAATAGTTGAAAGTCGAAGACTACCTATATCAAGAAATAAGGACCTCCCGATGCCCCCAAAAGTGACACTGATTGTTGCAGATTTAATCTAGAATTTTTTGTATTATTTATTCAAAGAAAGACAGCGTAGGGCAAGCTCCACAATCTTACTATTGGAAGAACAACACTCTTTAAAAATAATAAGAGCAGGGAAAAACAAATTCTCCACTTCTGAATCAGATGAAATTCTGGAACATTTCAAAATCCATAACTAAGCATATTGACTCCAAAAACTTACTCTCCACATCCCTTCTACTTATACACAACCCTCAAAAGAATGTTCCTCCTTTGTGGCATGAAATGTATCCTATCCCATTGGCACGGAGTTATCTGCTACTGTTGCTCCCACTCCCTTGGCCTAGCTATCTGGAATAATAGCATTTAGCCTGGAAATTCCACAGATCTTGTCCTTCAGGAACAAGTTCATTTCCAATGCATTATGTAACTTTGATGAACCAGGTGAGCCTAATTTCTGCTCCTGGTCTCAGTTATCTTTTGGATTTTTATTCTTAACTTGAAGGGGGTCTATAAAGAGATCGTACAAATGTCTATCATGAGAGGGAACTCATGTCTAAACATTCCTTTTTTCAATAGCACAATTGTGATTATCTTTGGATTATTCTCTTTCTAGCTGCCAAGGCTCTTGTGGGTAGAACTCCACCCCTGATTGTTGTTTTCTCCAATTTTCACATAGTCTAAACTAATAAAATGAACTGTACCAGCCTTTCTTAGTTGTCAATTCACTGGGAAAAGAATTTTTTGTGTGGCACAAGAAGTAGAATCATTATATAATTGTAAAATATCCATTTTTCTTCTCATGCAGCCATATACATAAGGAAACCTAGGATTTATTTGAAAAGTTGTTTGTGACTCAGCCAGAGCAATCATCTCCCTGGAATGTACAGCTGCCTAAAAATTATAAGATAAACCCATCCTAGTCAGGAATGGCAAAACAGGGAGAAACGGAAAGTATTTTTCCAGTGGTTTAAAGAATTCATTCCATTCTCCCTTGCAGCAAACACATTCACAGCTTATGAATACTAAGGGAAAATGAGGTGACTCATTTCATAAACTAGTCCTTCACAGGCAGAAGGCTGCCAAGTACAAATCTGGCATCTCTAGATAAAAGGATCCCAGAAAGCAGGATGGATCAATGCTCTGACTTAATAAGAAGGTTTTCATATCGATAGTAAGACACAATCCTAACTTAATAAGCTATACTAAGAAAGTCCCAACAGCCCAAGCTTAACATTCAAAGGAAGTTAAGGACAAAGTGGAAGCAACTGCTATATGTTCTAATAAGTTTATTCATTTTATGGTATATTAAGCCAGAATTCCTAGGTTATTAATGTATGCCAATTTAACGCATTCAATAAAAGTTCATTAAATCAAAATGACTCTTTTTTCCAATTTCTCTATCTGTCACCATTCTACAAATTTCATTGGAGAAAAGATCTACTGAACATTCAAGTCTCACAGCCAAACATTACATCTTTCACCTTAATTCTAGAGTTCCAAATTCTTTATCTTCTTCAGTATGCCTATTACCATATGCCTTCCTTTTAAGAAAAGTGTAATACTGTTTAAAACTTCCCAAGTAAGCTTTTATTTCAGTGGAATTCAAATGAATTCAATTTCTCTGCAGTTTGGAAATGCATTTCTAATGCGTGGGCAAGAAGATTATCAACTTTGGTCTCGGTGACAAACCCAGATTGGATCTTGCAGGAAGAGTATTAATCGTTTTGTTCCTCCCAGTTACAAATTATCTATGTGCAATTTTATGCACGGTCTGAACATTTCACAGAATATTATTTTGACTGTTGCTCACTAGCAGCTATTCAAATTATCTACTGATGCCAAAGGGACCCCACTCCTTCCTCCCCTGTCCACCATTTATTCTATTTTGATTGAAAGAAAAATCTTTTGAAAAACATTTGATTTTTCTCTCAAGCAAATTTTTCAGTTTAGGATCTCAGATAATTAGCAGAGATTTCTGCAAGCCTGGGTATTGGTGAACTTTGCCCTAACAAAAAATGATTTAACCCCTCCTATCTTCAAATACAGCTGGTCATGTGGGAAGCTTTTGTGTTTGGAACTTGGCACAAAGAAAAAAGGGCAGGGCAAGGAAAATGATCTCTGGGCCCTCCTGCAAGATTGAGATAATGGTTGAAGTCATGATTGCAAATAGTGTCGCTTCTATTGTTCTGTAAAGCTGCACTTCCCTGACAAGAAAAGAAACCCCCGCCAACAATTAAACAACTTAATATCAAACAGGCAAGGAAAACAAATGTTATAAGCCATGACCCAGAGCACAGCAAAAGTACCACTAAAGAGTCAAAGACACGCTACATAAAGCCAAGATAGATTCTGGAGAATCTTTGCCTGTTAGATCTCCAAGAAATATTTTCAGCACCCCAAAATAATAGCATGCAAAGTTATAATCCATTTGATTAATCAATGTCACACTTATTCCATAAATGTTGGCAAAATCATCCACCAAATATCATTTCAGAATCAAGAATACCCCTTTAAAACTGAGAGAAGACTTACGCAAGGAATCAGTAGAAAGATGGAATTATGTCTCAAGCATTGGTACAATGGACTTTGCCAAAAAGAATGAAGTTTTATATATGTCTAGGCTTCTACATGATAAATACTTCCATGCAGGTAGGTTTCTGCTTTGCCTATCCTTGAGAGAGACTGCACTGTGATACAATGCACACAAGGGGAGAGGGGGAATCATAATGTAACTTTCTTCCCATTTTTCTCTCAACACTAAAAGGCTCCTACGTAGAAAGAGAAGCTGTTTTCTCTTCAAGGTGAACACTAAGGAAGTACAGAAGCTAAGGCCGAGAGGGGGAAAAATAAGATTGACAAGATTTTCACCTTGAGATAATTATTGGAGTTCCAACTCTACATCAAGCAATAAGTTATTAAGCAACCACTTGTATATCATTCTTAGTACAACTATGGGTTATAAATCATATTAGCTGCATTCTCAATTTGCCAAAATAAGCACAGCATGTGAATTCAACCAACTGAATTGCAGGAATAAGGCTCTTTCTCCTTCATTATCTGAATTGGCCAGTCTGAAATATGAGATCTGCAATACTGCTAGAGACAGTCTCAGTTCATTGGAAATGGACTGATCGTTCTAATTGGAAATTGTATACAACTTTTGAACTCAATGCATAAAATCACCAAACATGAACTAAAGACTAGCTGAGTAAAGAGGAAAAAACTCTTTACTCACAGTAAGGATAATCAAGATACATAGATATTAGTGTCCAAATAGATATTAACACAAAAACAATCTTGGCCCTACCCTGAATTGAAACCTTCTAATCCTGGTCAAACTATTATTTGCTCTGCTTGATAGCAATGCTACAACATTTTACACAGGTTCCTTCTTAGCTTGTTAACTATATTTGATCAGGAGTTGGCAGGGATCAAAACTGGGTCTTTACAGATCTAAGATTCAAATATTCTTACTGAGTTATGACTTTGATTTTTTTTGTAGAAGAAAATCAACTACTTGACACTCACCAGTGCAAACGGAGAGCATGCAGGAAAGCTGAAAGACCTTCCATGACTAATAAGATGGCCACTGTTAGGGTAGCAAAGACAGCAAATAAAAAGAACAAGGCCAAACCACCAGCCAGACTCCTGATACTGAGACCCAAGTGAATCACCATGGTCCAGAGGACTTCAGAAAGCTCTGTGAAAAGAAAAAACTATAAATCAAAAGGGACCTCATTCCGTCTGTCTTTTTAAAGGTATCTAAGGATCATACGTAGAAAGTGTGGAGAGGCCAGTTCTTCAAATTCATCATACATCTGTGAATCATACACCAGGAACAATTTCCTCTAAAGGACTCCCCACCCATTCTACAGTGGAAAATACAAATCCTGCTTCAAGGGTACACTTATGTAATAAATAGTACTTTAAACAATTTTGATAAGGGACTAAGAAATAGTGGGTGCATATATTTTCCAGCACTATAACTTTATATGGAGCATAATAATAAGAAATGAATAGTACAAGCCATAATCTCCCAGTTGTTTTAGATTTCAACTTCTACCTTAGTCAACATGGCCAAAAGTAAAGGATTATAGGAATCATAATTTAAAAATATGAATTATGATTAATAAAGAGTACTAGATTCCCTTCCCTTCATTTACACTATTAATAAAAAGGAAAAACTGATCTTTTAATCCATGGCTGGAATTTGCCTTTCCCCTTCACTATGTTCAAAAAAAGTCAGGGAGAAACTACTCACGTGCATGAGCCAGACTGAGTGCCCAGAGACGCAGGTATGAGGCTGTGTTGGAGATGCATCCTAAGCAATATTCAATGGTATGGATAGACTGATTGATAACGGTATCTCCAAAATTAAACTGCAAAAAAAAAAATGAAGTTAGTTCTAAGTGAAAAACAAAGCATGAAGCAATTAATAGAGAATTTTTACAGTCAGGCAATAAAAATAACAACAGTAACTAATACTATTGCATTGCAAGGTTAGTCAAAATTCCCAGGTAGCACTTAGGCTCTCATAAGTCGATGGCAGCTACAGCTCAGAATTATTTACTTAATGTAGGCTTCTGGAGAAGAAATAGCAAAACGAAAATTATTTCCCCAGACTATTTACCTGAGGATGAGGCTTTAGCTATTTATTTACAGATAAGAGATAGGATATGGGAAGAAGGGATTATTTGATGTATTTTAAGAGATGATAAGTTACCAAATTGTTTATACTTGCTTTAATGAAGAGAAAAGTCAATTTTTAATATATTTCTTTTTCTTTACTACATTCTTATTTTTCCTTTCCTTTCTTTTTTCTATTTTTTCTTTTTAGTCTTTTAATTTTTTAAAATTTGTATAGGTTTTATATTTTTAAATATAGCTTATAATAAAATTACTATAAAATGATTGTTTAGGCAGTATAACACTAAACTGCAAACACGGTTGTTTCTCCACATCAAAATGCAATATAAGTTCAAGCAAAGCAGCTGAAAATTATGATTTAGGAGTAAAGAGTCCAACATTACATTTGGAATTTACATCTCTGTGGCCTACATTTCCATGCCTCCTCAATGCCCCTGTTGCACTAGGAGACAAAAATTGTCAAACAGCATGGGACTGCCATGAAACCTGGTCTTAGTGAGACCTGAGCATTAACAAGCATTATTCATACTTTCAAGATGCTATGGATAGGAACTTATCTATTTGGTCATAATATTTGCTAAATTTTCCACTTTCTTATCATTTGCCCTTTAGAAAAAGAGCCACTTATAATTCTGGCAATTTAAATAATCATGGTGAATAAGATTTAACAAGCAGTAAGAAAAGGATGAATAGTCACCAGAGAGGTTAAACGTTATAAAAGCATTTAAAGCCATTCCATCTATTTTGGCTGATTTATTTTAGAATTTCTGGAGCCTTTTCGAAACTGAGGATGCTCAGACAGAAGCACCAGATACAAACTAAAGTTTCACTGCATGAGAGCATATTTCAAACTACTAAGATTAAATTAATTCAAGACTCTTATTTGTAATTATGGAAGATTTTAAAAGGCTTAGCCAAAACTAACCTCATGGATATGCTAAACAAACACTGAAATTACTGGGGATTTCCATATTTTGCATTTAAAAGCTTGAGATACTTTATCAAGATTGTTTTTGCATAATGCCATCTATATTTGTCTTATAATAAGCACCATACAAGTTGAGAATAAAATGTCAAAGGTCAACATGACTTGTCACATGGAAAGGGCAAAAAGCTATACACTAAATTATTTATTTATTTAGCATATGGCACATGTTAACCAGGGATCACTTAGGTGGGCAACTGCCTCTGTGAAAAGAATTTTTCAGGTGGTGCTATCTTTATCCGCGGGATGCCTGAATGCCGGTAGGCATTCGGGGGAGACTCCTTTCTTATCCCTATGCGTTTATTTGCTCACGGGAATCAAACCATTGATGTGGTGCACAAGCCCAGCATCTTACCACATGAGCCACCCTGGCCCCACTAAATTGATGTCTCGTTGATTTAGTCTATCTGGCCACCTCTCCATTCTCTATAGATTTTTCAATTTCAGCAGACATTTGACCATGCACTTTCCACATACTACTCACAGCAAGAATATTTAGAAATGTGCTTCATTTGCCAAGTGACCATAAAAATCTGAGGAAGCGGAATTCTGTGCACAAAGTCACATTCCATTCCCCTACAGAACACACTTACACAATATACTGAAGAGGCATGAAAAATACTGAAAGGAAAAGAGCACAATGGTCAAGCTGGCCGGTCTATTTAATCTGCTGCTATAGGTACATATTCTATACAGATCCTCAGAGGTTTGCATTATATTATTTTATATATTTAAAGCCTGGCCCAAACACTGCAGAGTTATAAACAAGCTATCTATGGTTACAGGTAATCCTCATGTAACAATGAAATGAGGACCAAGAAATCTACTGAATAGCAATATGGTTCCACGGTTCAACATCATGTAACAGTACCAACTTATGCCCCAGTTGCCATCATTAAGCAAATCTGATGCAGTTGCAGCATCCATCCATGATTATATGGTCACCATTTACAATCTCCTGCTACCTTCTCATTGACTTCACTTATTGGAAGCTGACAATGAACTTTGAAAATGATGTTCTTGTAACAGCGGGGTACTGCAACATTGTAATTGTGACTAGTTGCCAAAAATCCGAATTGAGATTATATGATTGCAGGAAGTCTGTGATGGCTGCAGCCAAAAGACCTATGATAAGTCTCCCTTGTTCAGCGCTGTTACTTCAAATGGTCACTGAATGAGTAGACATTGGTTGCTTAATGATCATTAAATTACGACAGCTCAGAAATCATGTTTTATAGCCCATAAAGCACTTCCAGTCATCATAAAATGTCATCTCACACACACACTGCATACACTAGTGAGGTGATTATGGCCTGAATTCTTGGCAACTTGTTTGCACTTACAAATGGTTGCAAAGAACTCTGAGATCAATCTTCTGTTGGGGGGGGGGGGGGGGGAGAAGGGGCCTTCAGAAATGAAGCTTAGATCTTTGTTGACTGTGAATAGAGTGGAGAGGAGCTCTTGCACTATGCTGCAGAAATGAAGTAGAGTTTACAATGAAGATCCCTGCTTTATTTATAGTTCAGTGTAAGCATTCCCTTCCAAGCAGGAGGGGAACTGCCTGCCCACCCATAGCAGACAAGAGGGTTTTGCTCCCTCTTAACAACCTCAATTGAGTCAGGATTGAAGTAGTCACTGAGTGAAGTAGCCACCTGGATTGATTGCTTCACTCTGTAACTGAGATTCAGGTCCCAATTGTGGTCATGAGTCAAGAACGACCAGAATTTCTGAATCTGTTCAGCATCATAGCAGAGAGGAGGAAAACAACAAGAGAGTATCTGGAGAAAAGTTACAAGAACTGGACTTTTTTTTTTCCATTTCCTGGGAAACCGCTTGATGTTAGAATAGCGTTTCTCAAACTGTTTCTCTTCCTGTATTAAGCAATTTCTTAGGAAGACCAGACTAGCTAATGGATTAATACAAAGAGTCTGACCCAAATAATTAAAATTCCGTTTGGCTACAATTCTTATTAGATGCAGGATGGCAGCCCACCATTTTGTCATGATTTCATGTGTTAAAATTATAATATACATTCTGCTGTAAAAAGCAAATGGAAAAAAAATCCATTTTAAGGTACGAGTATAAAAAATTATTTGTGATGTAGCAGTCCAAAGGTTAATGAGTATGCTTACTTTGTCCCTTTGTGAAGGGTCTGCCCCAGTCAGCACATTGCAGATAAAGTGAAAGCTATATTTGGAGGAAAATCTGTGCTGCATGTGCTCTGTCTTACATTCCCATCAATGCATTTGGATTCATTATCCGACCTGTTATCAAATGGCTGATGTGGAAAGGTTCTTGCTCCTCTCTTGGCAGAGGCACAGAAGATAAAATGATCTATTTTTAACTACTGCAATCATGGGCTGCCAAGATTTAGCTCCTTACAAAAACCAAAAAGGACATCAGGTCATTCAGAAATTGGGCAAAATAGAGGCTGATACGCTAGGGACAAAATCTATTAGGAACCTCCTTGGTAACACATTTTCAAAAAAAAATTCCAGTTGATTTGTCCAACATTGTCTATCTTGAATTGATAGTTAAGCAAATATTAACACAGATATTCATTCTCCTTATTTCAAATTCTCTCCTAATGACTCTGATGTCTGATCAATGTAAAGTTTTAAATTTAAACTAACAACAAACAAGCAATTTTATTTAATATTACTCATTCCTGTATTCTGAGATGCAGTCTGAAGAACTTCGTTTGCTTTAATTCTGGAAACTGAATGAGCACTAGGCAACCTCAACCTGAACATTTAATCTATGTAAGGCATTGGGACTACCAGGTATTCTGGAATAAACCCCTGAAGAATTAAATATAGCTTGGATGGAAATACTTTTGGGGAAAGGTTAAAATAAGACTTGCTTGAGAGAAGGGTGGAAGGCATATTAGAACTTTTTTGTGTGTTTTCATTCATTTCTTTATTCAATCTTTCCTAATTGTTCTTAATCATAATACCTTGTTTGTTTTTTACTTTATTGAAAAGCTCTCTCTGTATACACATATAAACACACACATATGATCTACATATGTTTTGCTAGAAGGGTCAAGCTCAATTTATAAGCAGAATAAAAGACAACAAAATGATCGTTTTCCCAGAAAGTCAGTAAAACTAAGGTATTTTCTGCATCTGTGGGTGGAATAGACCATTTCACTGGAAGACAAACCTAGCAATAATAATTAGAAAATGAAACAACAATTTCTTCTTCTGCAGAGATAGGCGAGAGGGAGGTAAAAAGGGAGGCTAGCTTGGTCTGCAAATAATCTCTTGCTCTTCATTTGCCTGCTCTTTTTAATCACATAAGTTTCTGTAGGAGTCCCATTATTGGGAACACAAATAATGATCACTATGTAGCTGGATAAAATGTAGCCTTGTTAAGCAGAGATTAAATAAATTAGATAGCTACAAACAATTCTGGAGATTGCTGCAGAACTTTGATGTGTGACTACACAAGTGACAACATGCAGCAGAAACTGATAAGCTGCAATGTACGTGCAGGCTTTTCACCGGAAGCTTTTAAATGAGTGATCTTGTGACATTTATTACCTTTACACAGCAAATAAGCAGAAGATTTGAAAAGCCCGGGGACTGAGACAGACAAATGAAGAGCAAGTCCCTATAATTAGTAATCTGTGCAATTCAAAACAGTAATTTATAAACTAAATTTCAGCAAAATTCAGAAAAATCTTCAAGTATATGTAGTGATTCATACACATATTTGTTTTTAAGTAGAAGATGGATTAAAAAATTGGTTAATAGTTATCTACAATTATAAATATTTTATGCATATGATTAAAACAATATCTGCCGAGTCATTAATTTGAGTTCATTTAATTCTATAAAATAGTTTAAATTCATGGAATATTTAATGTGAATAAATAGAGGTACAGAAATTGGCTACAGGCTTACCACTTCCTCCACGGCAGGCTTGAAAACACAAAAGGAACACAGAGCTTGTCATGTATAATTTAAGAATACAAAAGCACCTCTTCATCTGAGCAACACAGCACTAATGCTCCATTGTCCAGGAATGTTAAGACTATATCCCCTATCCCACAGGGTATAAGAAGTCAGGCTATAAACACTGAGATTATCCAGCTCGTATCCATGACATCATTATACATCCTGATCAAAACAGTAGGCGGTTTATCCAAACTCCCAATGTATACTATATAACTGGGCTGCCAAACTCATGGCCCACAGGCTGGATACATCATGTGCTGGCCACACCCATGCCCGGTTTAGCGAAGGGGAAAAAAGTGTCACCACCATGAAAATGTGAGTTTGTCACCCCTGCTATATAAGGATAACACAAGTTTAATAAGTAGCTAGCCAGACTTCTAGTATTTTAGCACTGCTCTTCGAAAAGGAGTATGACTACCAGCCAAAACATATGGTTAATTTAAACAGTATTTAAATGGTCAACTTTTCAAGGTGAAAAAATACAATCAAATAATAGAATACATTTTTAAAAGGGGATAATGTAAAAAATATCACAAAGCAACCCATGTATGTACATAACCCACTTTAGCTGGTTGCTATTGGAACTTGTCTAAGACAGAATTTTTTAGTGTTTGTCTTTGAACAAAGCCCAAAATATGAACAAAGGAACAGAAGCTGTGTTTGGCCTGTTAATTTTCCTAGACAAATCTTCCCACATAAAATGTTACAATACTAAAAGGGAAGACTTACCTCTTCACCCTCCTCAGAATGGGTGGAGAGTTGATCATGCTGGATTATCTCGGCATCTTCCTCAGTTGGTCCATTGCCTACTCGAATCCCACCAAAATTGAGTGTGCCCTAAAGCATGCGACACAGGAGAAAAGATATATACATACACACACATATATATATGTAGGTTGTTGTTTTTTTTGATTCCAGAAAAAAAAAATTCTCAGGTACATTAGGACAAGATTTGTGCAAGAATTTGTTGCAAGACATGTAGTCCTTGATTTACAGCAGCAATTGGGACAGGAATTCCATCGCTCAGCAATGTGGTCATAAAGTGCATATCCCTATAGTTCCGATTGCTGCTGTTAATTGGATACCATGGTTGTTAGGTCTGTTCCTGCCAGCTTCCCACAACCAAGTCAAAAGAATTGTAAGTCTAGGGCAGGGGTGGGCAAACTTTTTGGCTCGGGGGTCTCATTGACTTTTAAAATTTGACAGACGGGCCCCCACCTGGTGTCGAAATGCCTGTCATTACAAGTCAAAATCAAATGAATGCAATCATTCAATCATTCACATCAAACCTTAATTCTGTACCAATCTTCGGCGGGCCGGATTAAAAAGACCAATGGGCTGGATGTGGCCCCTGGGCCGTAGTTTGCCCATCCCTGGTCTAGGGTCTGCAGGCAAGTAAGTATCTGGGAAAGGGAGTGAGGAGTGTGCAGGGATGCAGGGAAAGATCTGAATGGGGCATGGGAGTGCACAAGAAGTGCAAGTTAGGGAGAGTTGGTAAAGGTCAGAGAGGACTCAGGTGCACAAGAGACACTGTGCGGAGAGTGTTATGTGGTGCAAGAGGTACCACGTGGGTCAGAGTGGGTGGGGAATGATGTGCAAAAAGCATGGCATGGGTGAGGTAAGCAAGTGGCATAGATCAGGGAGATTGCACAGGATTGGGTGAATGGCCGTTGCAGCACAAGAACAGAAGGGATAAAGGAGAGTGCCCAGGTGGAGGAGACATACCCCAGTGATTTGGAACCCCCTCTATTGGTTTCCCCATTAACTTTCTGGGGAAGCTAAATAGGAAGGTTACAAAAGGCAGTCAAGTGATTCTGGGCAACTGGTCTTAAGTATGAACTGGCTGCCAAACACCCAGATCTGCAATCATGTGACCAAGGGGATGCTGGACCAGTCAAAACTCCAAGGACTTGTCATAACCACAATTTGTTCAACACTGTTGTAATTAGAATGGCACTGACCAAACGACATAGATCAAGGACTGCCTATATTTTATATTTTCCAATTCACTGACTTATAGATTTGGATCCATTAAGACTCAGGCCCAGCCCGATTCAGCATAAAAATCCAAACTGAATAATTACAGACTTATGACTGCTTCCCTTGCATGAAAATGTTCAGTGATGAAAAAACAATCTCCTCTCTGGATAAACATATTCCACTGTCAAATTTCTTTTATTATTAAGGTGTTTTTATTTTTCTTTATGTTAAGATGACTTGTGCCTTGCATTATGAACTTGGTCATTGGCTTTCCTTACTGAATAAAATATTCATATATTTTAGGAGCTCAATTTTCTGTGTTTTAAAATTATTTAAATTGTGCCAGTCTTTTATCTACATAGATACGTTTTCTTTATCTATATCCTTATCTATGACTTTGATAATCTTTCTGTCCACATTTTCATCTGTGCATAACCTAATATTAAATCTTGTGACATCTCATTGATACCTTAGGCAGAATGATAAAGAAGTGTTGATAACTGTTGACAAGTAGTTTTCAGAATGATTGTGGAGTCACATAGACTATGCAGCTTGTATAACTAAATAACCAGGAAACCAGAATGTCATCAAATATTTTATCACATCTTTACTAAAGGTGCATTATGTCTACAGTATTCCCACAATATACTAAGGAAGCTACTTGACCAAAACTGGAACAGTTTTGGTCAAGTAATTAGCCTGACAAGGCTTATTAATGATAAACACTGCTTTCTATTAATTTCACTTCATTTTTTCCAAAGTACTTTCAGATCATTCATTAGTTGCTTTAAAATATTCTCAGATATTAATGTCAATCTATTGTTCCTTGGATCTTCCTTTTTTCTCTTTTTCTGAACAAAGAAATACTTTTTATCTTTCAGTGATCTGGTACTATCCCCATTCTCCAGCATTTCTCAGATAGTGAAGTGAAGTCAATCTATCAGCAAATTGTTTCAGTAACCTAGAATGGAATGTATTAGGCTCAGGCAATCTCAATTCATTCAGCTCCAATATACATTCCCTGGCAATATTTCTATCAAGCTGAACTATCTTCTATCGGTGCCTAGTGGGAAACATATTCTTATCTCAGAAAAACTGAGCTAAAATAAAAATTGAACAGTTTAATCTTCTCTTTATAAAGCTAGATATATTAGCTTTCTACCATCTTCATCAAACTTTTTACTTGCCATCTTTTATTCTGAACACACCAAAAATTCTCTTGTTTTTAGCATCCTTTGCTACTGCTTCAACTAACCACTTAATTTTAGCTTTCATGTTCAGATATCACATTTTTTTATTTCTAAACTAGATTATTACACATATCTCATTTGAGGTAATGTGTATTAGAAATAAACCTGAGGAACAAGAAGAAGCGCCCCAGCCAAGACACCAATCAGATAAAAGAAATTTGAGTTGAAAGAAGAAATGTAATTTGAGTAAGCATCTTAGACTTGACCTCCTTAGTTTTCATTGAGGTAAAGTGGGGTAGACATCCATTCAGAATTGTAAGATTCAGTTACTGTAACTTATAATAAAAGTAGCTAAAATAATTATTTGCTAGCAAATAGAAGAATGATAGCAAGATCAACCAGCATCTCATATGAAACATGGTTATCATTAACAGGTTCCTGAACACAAAAGCAGGAAAATTCACATAGCAGGCATATGTTTAGACATTTGACACTCTTAACTCTAGCATATGCAACCCCAAATTACTAGAAAGCATTTATTTATATGTTAGATCATTACAAAAGCAATAACAAGAAAAATGATTTAGGTGTTTTGTTCCTCTTAGTCTTAAAAATATACCTTTCATACTAACTGATTGCCAAGAAAACTCAAATTATTTACTGAGAAAAATGAGGATGCTCACATATCCTTAGAAAAGTGAAATATCACATTTGATTTAGTTTCATATGATAACCACATTAGCTGATCAAGAAAAATCTTATCTATATTGAATTCAGTCCTACTTCATACGATTCTGATTAGACTCCTGCATAGCTACATAGGTAACAAATCGTCATACTGCAGAGACCCTCTGAATAAGCAGACGCTCTAACTTTAAAACCAAATATTGAAATAGCCTCCACTTTCACATCATCCTCATAGGCTTCCATTGATACCTGCTTGGTTAGCAAGCAGGATGCTACAACTTGATTTGATTTAATAAAATAGTTCCTATGTTCTTAAGCTTGACTCTGTACACTTAAGATTGGAAATAATCCTTGTTCCCAGGTAAAATTAGAAGATTCTTAATATGTTATTTTGTAAATTTCCATAGGACTATTACCGGTTAGCAAGTAGTATTGACCTTTGACTTGACTCAGTAAAGCAGTTCCAATGTTTTTAACCTTGACTTGGTAACGTGAGTCCGAGAAATCAGCCTTGATCTCAGATAAAATGAGATAATATTTTTGGTTTTATATAAAATTTATAATAATTCCAGTTTACAAAGCAAGACTGAAAATATATTGTATTCTGTCAAATAACTTCCCTGATTTTTAAAGATGCAATCATATGATTTAGTCCAAGAACAAAATACTGCAACAAGAAGTCATAATATTCACATGATTTTTAAGACAGCCAGAAGTTTAAAACAAAAGAAACTACTTAAGAGTCAAGTAGCTATAAAATTATACAGAGCTTCCTCCACTTCAGTGAGTGACAGTCAATGCACTGTCGTAAGGATTCCTGAAGCATTCTTTCCATGGATAGAAAAATAGTGATGACTGCAAAGGTAAATTCGGAATAGTTGGTACTACAGCAAAGACTGTAATATGACTGTAATTTTAAAAAATATTATGAAAAATTTAAAATACGTTGGAAGGAGGACTCCTGGGTTGGATCGTAACAGAAGGAAAAAGCTGTCAATTATGGAAAAAGCAGGAACAAATACAAAACAGGGGATATTCTTTCCATATTGTGATGACTTTTAATGAATAATGGGTTTTTCAAATTATTTTCTTAGAAACTCGGAAGTTTTTCAGCACATTAGTGGGGATCCCACAATAAGAAGTGTAACAGCAGCCAAGCTGCCTTTAAATGCACTTTTTCACATTGTTGTCCTGTTCCTTTACAATCTGCATTCAGAAAGGATGTATGCAACTAGGGATAAGGGATAATTAATTCCAGAAAGCTCTAGCTGACACTCTAAAATAGTGAGCACGTTTAAAACATGCAGATAATCTTCTGCAATATACTGTAACTACAGGATCCTCCGGATATAAACTAAGACTGTATCATTTCGGATATAAACTTAGACTGTATCATTTCCTATATGCATGCGGGTAGAATTTGAAATGAATAAGAATATTGGATTGTATTTTTTTTTTTTTAGCAAAAGGCAGCTGTGCTATTCCTCTTCCTCAGGGGAGATATTTTCCAAAGTTCCTGAGCCCTTCTGTTTTCATCATGTGTATAGGTGGCATCTTTTAATCCACTCACTGTTGCAGCCGCTGCTGCCTCTATTGCCTGCGGACTCTGGCCTGGGCTGACATGAGGTTCCTCAGGCTGCCCTTCCTGATAGTGAATGGAAAGAAAGAAAGCAGGAAAGGAGAAGAAAAACAAGAGAAAAAAAGGGAAACAAATGGAGGGGTCATGGGAAAATGAGAGGGTCAGAGAAGGAAGAGGGAGTGTCTTTAACTGAGCTGCACTTTGAAGGGCAGTTGCATCTTAACAACGTACTTGCCACAAGAACAACAGATATGGAAGCCAGAGTCAGATCTGTTGGAGAATCATGGGGGCAGTCTCTCTTTTCGGCTGCCCATTATTTCAGTAACATACCAGTAAGACAAATTTCCCTTTATAGTCCTAGATTTTTTTTAAAAAAAAAACAACCTCAAAACATATCCAAGGGTTTGTGAGGGCTTATTTTTCCTTAAAAAGCAGCATCCTTCTCTATGCAACTAACATCTTCTAAACCAAAAGTAGACCCAAAAAATATTTATGACAGAAGTGTCCGCTGTTTAAAAGAAAATATCAAGAATCTCACAGGGTTCGGCATATCTAAAGTAGCTCTTTGGATTCCTATGTGGCAAATACATGCATACAAATCAAGATTTCAAGAGACAGATTCAGACAACACTAGGCAATTATGGGTGTACCTGTTCCTTAGCACAGAGCAGGAAAAAAACGAGGGTAATATTCATCTGCATGCAGTTTTCCACTGTAGAAGATTGGACCAAACCTCCATACTTGAATAAATAAAAAGGTTCTTACGGGAAAAAAATCTTATAGTCACTCACCAAATGCTTTCTTTGTAAATACTGTTGGCGAAGAATCAAGGGCTTTGCAATCAGCATCCATGGGATACACAGAAATGCTACTACCACCAGGAAACACTGAATACCTTTCTGTAAGAAAAACAGGACAATCAATGACATCACCACTAAAAGTAAATAAGATCTTAATGACAGTAGCTGCATTGCACATTTATGAGCTAAATATTCAGTACCAATTCCAATTGTGGGATATAAGGCCCATCACTTGAACTTGGTTATCAAAACCTAACCAAGCTATCCATGGGAGACACTGAACCATTGCTGAAAGTCTATGAACCTGCTGTTAATCATAATTAGGAACTACAAAGTTTTATGACTAAAACTTTCTCCCTGCCAAATGTCCTGATACAATTCGCATCAGAACATGGGGATTGTTTTCATATATCTTGCATAGTATTTTCCAAATACCTGTACTGTTTTTTCTTCCTATCTAAAGTTTTTCCTGCAGGTGCAGGGTCACTTTTCACATCATCCAAATGTCAATCCTATTAGTTGTTACAGGAATTGTCTAATCAGCTTGTTGCCCTTTGCTTAATACTGTTGAGCTGGGAGAAAGTGACTGATCTAAAGTCACCTAGTTGGCTTTTATATGTAAAGGAGGCCTAGACCTCACACTCTTCTTGGTTTCTAGCCTGGAGTCTTAACCACTAAAACAAACTGGATCTTTCCCCGCCCAAAGACTGTACTAACTGGTAATGACATCAATCTCAGGTTTCACATTTTGTCTCTCTCACCCCATGAATAACTCATTTAAACCCCCCAAATGAATAAAATAAGTTCCTATAGAGAAGGAGAGTTCTTTACCTCCTTTACCTACCTGTCCACTATAAAGCATTTGGGCATTTTTTTCATAGGAGAAGAGGAACATGTTGATGAGGTGAATAAGAAGACTTGGTGCATGCATGGAATTCTTAGCATTGTATGCTGCCCATTTATAGACGATAAGGATGATCAAATATCCAAACAATGAAGACATGAAGATAATTTCAGGGATAAAGCCAAGGAAGATGTTCAGAGGTTTCTTAAAATAACTATAGAGGTATGGAAAAAATATTTCAGGAAAAATATTAAGAAATAGTTAGGAAAAAATTAGGAAAAATTTGACAATGATTTTAGCCAACAAATTGTGAAATTAATTTTTTAGTTAATATGCAATTAATAGTCAATTGCTAAATTAAATAAGGTTTATTTACTGAATAGTAAATCCCAAGCCTCCTTCGATACTTAACTTCCAGCAATTTCATGAACATGTTCATTTAGTTATCTTGGTAACAATGTGTTATAAGAAAAAGTCTTCATGTTTAAAAAAATTCAACTGCATGACTTTTGGCAGCCTGTAAGACTATTATTCGGAACAAAGTGAAAAGAACTTATAATGAATATTCTGTCTTTATTTTCACATCCTTTACTGTTTTATAATTTAATTAAATGGAACACACTCACATATGGTTCAGCAAACTAAGGGTGACACCAAACATCATGTGGATGATGCCCAGAATTACTGACATCTTCATTTTGAAGGAGTTAAGGAACGTCAGCTTGTTGGTAGCAATATTCCAGATCTAGAGAAAAAAAAATTAAACAAGATAAGACAGAAGGTAGACCATGGCACCTGGAATTCTTTCCAACCCCTTTCCAGCAATGGCCATAAGTTCTATTCATATAAGCAGTGGGAGGCACTCATTCCACTCTAGATCATGTGACTTGAGAAAAAAGTTTAGAATAGAGCAGTCACAACATGTTGAATTACTTCCCAAGTGCCTCTCCCACAAAGATACACTGTGTGAATTTTTAGGAATGTTTTCTTCTGCAATCCCCCAGCCTTAGTTTTTAAATATGATATTTCATTTGTTGGTTTTCCTCCTGGGCTAAATTTGGCCCTGCTCTACTTAGTTATCAGAGAATTATTGTGCTGATGGCGAGATGAACAGAAGTCTTTTCATACTGTCTTTCAAATTTCTATTTACCTACAAAGAATAAAGTGTAATGGTTAGACCAAAGTAATGGGACAAAAAAACCATTCTCACTTTAAATAAACAATTAAACACGTCCAGTTCATGGACGTCACGACTATAGAAACAATCTGAGGCATTTCTATAAAAGGATTTGAATGTAATTTTGGTAGTCCAAGCAAATGTCCCATCCATTTTAGACATATTTAGGATTGCCTATATTTTTGGATGATTCAAAATATGGCAAGTCAGCATTTCAGGAGAGCACAATACAAGTTGTATACTACTGATACATGTGGAAAAAGATTAAAATGTAATTTTTAAAGACTAGGATGAAATGTAAAATTCTATCATCTCATTCTGCATAATGTAATGCTCTCTTAATATGCAGTAAACAACCTATCACATTAACAAAACAACTGAACTAATTATCTTTTTTCCCAGTGAATCAGACATTTTTGATACTTTGATATCTCCTTTAATTTATAAGGATAAAGTGAGAATGTGGAGAAAGAGAAACAACATGAAGGGGAAGGAAAAATAGAAAATGGTGGTTCATACTGGATCAATGCCAAAGGGATATGCTCCACCAAAGACACCATCGATGGCAGGATTAAGCTGAAGCATAGGATACTCCCTGAGAAGATCTTCTCTGTAGAGAAAGGAAAAGAAGAAGCAAGTGCATTAATTATCTAAGCAGAGCAGAACAGATATGCCAAAATCAATGTACTCCAGAAACAGCTGTAAAAGGGTAAACATTCAATAATGTTATTCTGCCATTTCCATGTCTTTTATCAACTCATCATTTTCCAAACCTCCTGAAGCCATTTCCCAATTATTTTGCTATCCATTGCCTTTGCGGGCGACTCATCACTTACGTCCAGTTGGATTTCTGAAACATTGGCCGGACACTCCAGGATGAGCCAAACATATTGAGTGACTTTGAGAAACAGTCATTATAGATCAGGCCAGTGTAAATGGAGAAAGAACCCATCAGCAGAATAATGTAGCGGCCACTGAAAATAATGTTGAATATCTGTCCAGGTTAGGAAAGGAAATTAGGGGGAAGGAAAGAGAAGAGACATATAACAAAGATGAACTAGAAATATGTGACAACGATACTGTTAAGAATACTAAGAATACAAAAGCATGCTGCCAAGCATCTTCCTTTGACTCCTAAATAGACAGTCTTTTTCATCTTTAGATCATATTATACAAGATTTCTTTAAGGGAAGGGGCTTTTTTTGCATTTTTCTAAGAAAATGTAAAAGTTCAAAGAACGAAAATGATTCCTCTGGCCCTGCAAGAAGTTAAGACACATATTTTACCCCTTAAATCTTCATCCCAAATTGGAAAGCTTAACTTGATGGTTAGAAGAGGGAGAATTTATGAAGTACATTTTGCTCCTTAACTGCCCCCTCTCTCATCTGAACATTTATTGCCATAAGTGCCACCAAGTTTGGAGGCTCTTTATAGCTTCTGGGCTACTTAACTCTGTCCTATCCCTTCAAAGGATTGGATGATCTCAGCTCTGATTCAGAAGAACAAGAAGCATACAATCTGACAATAAAGACATATAGAAGAAATTTTTTTTCACACAGTAGTTCCAAAGAAAACAAAACATTTTTCTCCAGCTGAACATAGAATAAAAAGCTGAGAAATAAAAGCTGCTCAAATTGCCAACTACTAAGAAAGCTCCATGAGAGCCTGCCTTAAATTTAAATCTTAATTTCTCAAGTCAGTGGTTAAATTACCTCATTATCACTCTTTTGTGACAGAATGCGGCTTTCTCTGATTACCATCCAGACAGCAAAAAGTGTCATAAGAATGCCATGTCCAAAATCTCCAAACATCACAGCAAATAAGAATGGGAAGGTTATGATTGTGTATGGAGCTGAGAGAATGGGAAATTGAAAATTATTTAACAGAATGACAAACAGTTATTGAAAACAATGATCTACTGAGCATGCCTAGACCTTGAAAAAAAGCCTGTTCTTCAAATTGCATATATGCCAGTTTAGTTTATCTGCGGTTAGAAAATGTGTTGATCCTGATGCCTTAAAACATACAAGAAACTTTTATAAAGATGTATAAAAGTTAACTGTATAGAATCTTCATAATTTTGGGACTGAATCTATATTTTCCCTTGTACAAATAAGTATAACTATCTTTTTCACATCAGCATTTTGGGACAAGTGAGGTATAAAACATAATGGGTAAAATATTGTCTGGGATCAATAAAAAATACTACTCAATGGATATAAAGTGATACAAAAACCAGAAAAGTGAGAAAATGAAATAGGTGGGATATACAACATTAGTAATGCAACTCCCCCCACCCCATGGTTCCCAGAAGCTGACAACTCCCAGTGGTTGTGGTTAACATTATTTCTGAGTTCTGGAATTACAATTGAGGAAAAGTTTATTTTCTCCGTATATTTTTCTCTCATCTCCTTTTTAAAATAACAGTTTTCTAAGGAAATTGTTGCAAATTGCAATCCTTTCTCAGGAGATTGCTGCTTGTTTTATTACTTTGATTGCTCTTTCCAACTTTATAGTACTTTTAATATTATTAGAACTATAGAGCAAAGTTTTAAAGATCATCATATCATGGATCAGAATAAAAATGTTAAATACCCTATAAGAGGACATCTCTTATCTCATGACTGCCAAATTAGTTTAGGATCTTTGTTGACAGATTTCACTTGATACATTTTGAAAATGGAGGAAAATATTGCTTACCAGATCATTCTACACATATATTTACTAGAATTCAAAATGGTCTTTCGCAGAGGAGCTGGCAGACTAATTAATTTAATGCCCAGTTTAATACCGTATTAATTTTCCCAAGATGCACTTTAACTCTGTCATCTAATCAGATGCTTTTATATGCTTATCTACTTTTGGTATAATTCAGCACTTATAAAAATCTGTAAAATGTGCAAAAGGCTTGTTGAAAAAATGTATTATACTAGGAAAAATTACAGAATTATTAGAAAACATGTACAGGTAGATTTGATTTTAAAAATAAATTTGCCAATTTAATATGAAACCAAAAAGTCAACTTCCTCTTTTAAATAGATTTCCCCACCCCCACCCCCTGGAACTCAAACTTATTATATTAAACTTCCTTAGTAATTTTCCAGTAATATAAAATAAAACTGGATCAATAGATCAACAGAATTGATAAATAAAGTGGATGTATTAATCAACATAAATACTGATTTTTTATTTGTTTTGGTTTCTTTCAGTAAGTTGAATTGCTGCAACAGAATAAGTCAGAAAGGAGACAAATCAGACTCTTAAAACAAATTATCAGAAAAGCTAGCAGTTTCACAGGATACATGCAAGTACCTGGATTTATCTCACGATAGGTTCCAATGCCATAAGCATCTACAATGTTTTGAAACCCATCAGTGAATTTGTTGGTCTTATTGTACGTAGGTGGAGTCTGGTTGGTCTGCATCCTATTCAGGATAGAGGGGACAGTAGATCCACTGTGCTCCTATTATACACAAACAAATTGAAGATTAGAAAAGCTACTTTTTCAACTGAGTGGAAACCCAGACAGCTTTTACAATCTTTCATTCTTGTGCATTTTCAAGCATACCTTTTTATTTAGCTATTTTAGAAAACATTTTTTAATTTTGGTGAATACAAGTTATACAAAATATTCTTCCAAAAACAAACAAACAAACAAACCAAAATCGATGTTTGGATTTCCTCCTGAATTACAACCCAAAAGATACTGGATTCTATCACTCTTTCATACAAATATATAAATTATGTATGAAGAAATTCCTATAAATAAAGTCAGAACTGTTACAAACGTTTTGCTTTTAAAAACACCAAAAGGATTTCAAAAGAAGTGGGCTGTCACTTACCTGAATTCAAGACTATCTGTATTTCTGAGAGAACAAAAATCAAGGCAAGCCTCCTCTTGAGAAACAACTAAGAAATATGAATTAAAGGTCATTTGCTTTCAAAGTTGGGACACATTTCAAGGAACAGCACAGTGCTTCTGTCTAATCCAGATGGAAAGGGAATGCTTTAACTAAAAAATTCCACTGCAAACTGTTTGCACAAACAGATTTTGCTTGCGAGACTCAGAAAACTCCATGTTTTCTTGAATCTCGGGGCTAGCAGTAATGCTGAACATCCTAGAAGAGGTTAAGAGGTATGAATCATGCTCACCGTGCCACGCCTGAGAGCAAACTGAATGGAATCAAGGTCAGCTACAGGACACCAGACTTCAGCAATGAGGCATTTCTGGGTAACATCAATGTTGCAGAGGTTCAGAGTATGGTAAATGGCTTTCATCTTGCGCACCTTTATGAACCAAACACGGACATTCTTTGCAGCAGCCTGAAGAACCCTCTGACGGTGATCTTCAGTTTGGTTCAGTACCTGCCATGGGAAGGAGAGACTTTGTTAAAAAAAAAGGGGGGGGGGAATGAAGTCTATTCTGTATATATCATCTATGAGCTATGGAAATTCATATAAGTTCACTCTAATTGGAGAATTTCAACAGTTTCACACCCTAGTTCAGCCTTCACACAAACTACAATTTCATTCCTTCACCTTAGAAGTCTAGATTAATAGGATGATTAAATTTAAACCATGTACTGATGTCCAACTCTTCTACATGGAGAGTAAACAATCCTTTCATTTCAGGAACAAAACAGTTGAAAGCAGGAATACAAACTATGCACTGGTGAGAGTTCCATAGTTCCAATCCTGTTCTTGCATTTCCAAATTTTAATTTTATTTATTTATTTAAGATTTTTATTTCTTAAAAGTCCATCTCCCTCAGAGAGGAAATATACAAAGCACAATATTGGCTTTGGCTAATCTTCCTTTAGACTATTCCAAAAAGAAAAAAATAGTTTGCTTATGTTACTAATAAGGAAAGATCACACTACTTTAATTCTGTTTGCATTTACTAGACTAAAGCAGGAGATTAAAAAAAATAGATAGCAAATTGTGAAGTCTAGCTAGAAAAGAGTGGAGTTTGAGTGTACCTGACCCTAGGAGATTTCTCTTGTCCCAAATCATTTAAATGTTATAAAGTAACTTTACCTCATTGGTTTATAAGGTAACTTCACTCTATTTACAACATTAAAAAATAATCTCTTATGCAAAGTCCAGGAAAAGCCTATAGCAATATGACAGTTTTAGAAACTATACTAAAAATTTCTATTTTTACAGTTGATTAGTGGTTACTTTATAATAATAATATTTTCCACACTGACTTGCCAAAGACTAACATCCTGAACACAAGAAACATTGCTCCACAAAGATTCTATTTTTTGAATTTCAATATAGTATCAGATATTGAAATATACCTAGAAGTTCAAGAAGAAATATAATTAAAGCAGGAATAGCTAATATGCTAAATCAATAGAGATTTCAAACAACCCTCAGGAATCAGCTATTGACAAAGCAGTTTTAAAGCTTTTATCCTTGAGTTTATGAAAAGTATGTAGGAAAAGTCATAACAGCCCTATCTAGTGATTAAGGCACTAGGCTAGAAAACAGGGGATCATGAGTTCTAGTACCATCATAGCCATGAAACCCAGCTGTGTGATCTTGGCCCAATCACTCTCTCTCAGCCCAACCCACCTCATAGGGCTGTTGTTGTGGGGAAAATAGGAGGAGGGAGCATTAGGTATGTTCGCTGTGTTCTTTGTAAAAATAAAGGTGAGATATAAACAAACAAACTTATTTGTCAATTGGACTCCAATTCCACACTGTTACCTCTGAATTAAACTTCAACCTACTGTTTTCATCTGTTTGAGCAGTCTTTTAATGCTGATTCAGAGTATTTTAAGATGTCAAGTTAACTAAAATACCTTGCATGAAAGTTATCGTGTATGAGTTGACATAGAAGATCAGACAATGAGAAGTGTGGCCCTTATTATACCATCAGAAGATCATCAATCCATGTGATAGGTAGTAAGTTCTTAGTACTTCCCTAAAAATTACTTCTGAAACTCATCCAAAAGAATGTAACCAGTTAGAGCCAGCACCAAATCAAATAACATGATGCTCAGTGTTGTAATAGGGGTAGGCAATTTTTGGCTCTTCAAATCTGATGAGATTCCATTCAGTATTAGCCAATAGATATAGATTACTTTGCATCAAATTCGTCTAAATAATATGATCTCTGCAGTACAAATTACAGCATATGTATACAGGTATATTAACTATAGAGACCAATTCAGAAATAAAGACAGAAATCAAGAACTGTCTCTTCCTGCCTTATCCTAACATTATTATACCATCAGAAGATCATCAATCCTTGTGTTGACTCCGACAGCCATTTCCTTCCTTTCCTGTGGAGTTTCTGGACAGGGGTACAAAGAAGCCCGGAATCTGAAAGGCACAGAGAAGTGATTCAATATAAATAATAATAATAACCTAATCATGAGATTAATGTCCTGGCCTCCCTCCAACCAGCAATATGTTATACGTGCAAATGGATGAGAAGGTTAGAAAATAATGTAAAATGAATAAAAAAACTACAAATTAAAAGCAACAGTCTTCTTATTCTGATTTGCTTACCCTTCACAGATCTTTTTGACTCTGTTTTTCAGCTGGTCACCTTGGAAAAAAATAATGAACACAGACTTGTGCACATAGTCACCCTAAAAAAGAAAAGATAGAGAAGGTCCATTTGAAATTAAAGCTTTCCAGTTGAGAGTAGCGAAAGTATTAGCTTTGGATCATGAAAATCCTAGTTCAAATCTACCACTTAGTCATAACATTTACTGGGGACTTCTCAAATCCTCTCTCTCTTCTCATATCCCTGCTAAGTAGAAGCATATAGATTTTCTGAAGTTTTCTGAAATCTTTTTCAAGATTTGAAATAGCCTCAGGGTTGGTGAGGAGGAAGGGTGAATTAAAAAAAAAACCTTCACTTTTCCTTAACTACCTCAGTATGCCTTTGAAAATGGCAAAAAAACTAGGCCATACTTTATAAAAAAGCATACAGCGCAGAATTTCAAAACATACTTATGCAGCAATAGTTCCAGAAGTTCAAGCTAAGCTACCCCAGAGAACAAGAAAAAAGAGAATTACTAATAATCGATTAGATTTAGTAAGTAATAAATAAATACATTGGATTAGGTAACAAACATATATAATTCAATGTCAGTGTCCTGCCTAGACAAAAAAATCCAACTAATCAAATTTTTAAAAAAACCTTTGAACTTGCATTATCCTTTTAGGCTCAAAATATAATGAATTAGGTCTTATCTGAATGTAAAACCTTCCGCAATATAATTTTCCTGAATAGTATTTTATGAATACACCTCCAGCTCTAACTTTATGAGCTTCTATGCCTTCAAGTAATCCAGGTAATAATAAGTAGGATTTCAAACATTAAACTTTCCTTCAAATCATTCTAAATTCCCTCATAAATCTTCAACCAAGATCACCAAGTAGCCACAGGATAAAGGGGGAGGGGCAGACAGTATAAGAAAACCATCCCTTTTATATTCTGAATAATGTATTACCTGGAGAAACTATAGCATAAGCAAAGAAGCCACAAAGATAAACCAAGGCTGCTGCTTAAAGAGATGTTCTGAAGTAAACAAGCAGGAGATAAAGAAGTAAATGGCAATGGACTGATATCAACCATATACTTTTGAATCCAAACCCTTGAACTTTCCCAAGAGGCCAGTAGTACATTTTTCAGACAGATGGCTAGAATTGGATAGCAACTCCCCCTTCTTGCATTTGTCCAAATGAAAACATTTTTCATTAGTAATTTTTTGCACAAACCTAATAAGAATAGAGGCACTTGTTATGAACAGAATGTTGATTTTCTTTCTAAGCAGAAATATAGAAACATAGAAAACTGATGGCAGAAAAAAAAACCTAGTGAGTCTGGCCTTTCAGGGTTTTTTCCTTTTTATTTATTATTATGTTTTTATTATTTTTAATTATTATTTTTATTTCATTTTTTTAATTTTTTTGTCAGATGATGGACATATGTTTATCCCAAGCATAAAATTTAGTTACTGATGACCCACTCATTATCTACACTGGAAATGGGTTCCAAGTTTCCATTACTCTTTTTGTGAAGTAATGCTTTCTAACTTTATTCTTGATTTTCCCTCCTGCCAGCTTGAGATTTATGTTCCCATATTCTTGATTTTTGCTTAATATTGAAAATACTCCCTTAAAGAACTTTATTCACATACAGTGCACTCTTTCAGGTGGCTCAAGATGCATTCACACACCTCCTTAAGTTGTTTCATGTGAGTATATGTTGGGTAGGCACAGAAAAGACCACTGGTAGGCTGGCAGCCTTTTCTAAGCCTGTGTAGCATTCACTCCTTACCCAAAGCAGGTTGATAAGGTGATGGTGATAGTCATTGCAGGAAAGGGCTCTGGCTCAGTCACCCACTGTGGCTTCTGTCAAAGCACAGCCTTAAAGAGTGAAGCAGGGAGCTATTGGTCTGGTTCTCCATAATGATCCTCATTCTTCATGTGGCCCCTTGGGAAAATTAATTGCCCACCCCGGTCTACAGTCTGCTGCTGCAGAAATAGCCACTATACCGTTACTGGGTCCTCTAGAGGATTTTCAATTTCAGCTTGTCGTAAGAAAACATTTCCACGACACACCCTCCATAGCATCCGCTCAAAGGTCGGGATTCTCTCACGATTAATCACTCCAGCCACAAATCTAAATACAGGAGAAACCGAAGAAAAAGAAGAATATGCAAATAAATATCAATCCAGAAACAAATGGATGTTGCCATTGCAAAACCAATAGAATCAAGAAAAGAATACAGGTACTGTGCAAGTTAGTAGAAAAATAAAACAAAATACAACAAAAGTATTAACTATATAGCACAATTATGAAAAGAACAATTCTAGAGACTAGATGGATCAAGGTATAAAATGTGCTTGTGATCTAAAAAAGAGATTAATTTTTGTTGTTGATTAGACAAGTAATGTTTTAAAAGGAATTCATATTATTTTTTATGTTAAATTATACTCCTTAAGCATGGAATTTGTCATCTCATAAACAGCATGGCAAAAAGAATAATTTTATATAAATAGAAATAAACGATCTTGATTTTCAGGAATGGATCTGGGATGTGTTTGCTACTTAATTTTGAAATGCCTAAATTCTAAAACATGGACTGGCCTCTGAACAAAGTGAAACTGATATTTGTGTATATCTGAATAAAATTAATCCACAGTTTCCAGTACAGAAAAAAATGGTCTGAAATGTAGGAATTGTACAATTATTAGTACAATTCATAGTTTAGGGCACTCTTTCCAAATCAGGTTATCCTTTAAATGTATGAATTTCAATTTTCAGAATTCTTACCAATGCTATGCTGACTGAGAATTCTGAGATCAGGTTAGAACTGATTAATTTCTGATTTTCATGAATTGAATCTATATCTGTGAACTTCAATCTATTTCAGAAATTTATGGACTATAGAGAAAATATATGAAGTTGCAATCTATGATTAAAAATAGGACATAAACAATTTGTAATTTTTGTACAATGCTTACTTACCATATTTAATTTAGATTCTTAATGGTCAACATAAATTAAGGTTTGGTTTGGAGCAATGTCTGAACTATCAAGGAATAAATGCTACTGTACAGAAAGATCAACGCTTAAATACATGCATTCTTAAATTCTTGAAGTTCACTGAGAATACCTGTTATCAAGAAGTACTTAAGAGTTCACTGACAATACCAGTTATCAAAAAGTCTTGATATCCATATAATGAAATTCTCTGAGCTAAATCTCTGAAAGGAGTACAATCAGAGCATAAAATTTAAGAAAGACCTAGATCGTGGGGAAAACATCATAAACTGTAAATGTTTGGATCAGCTTTTGAAATAAATATTGAAGTTTATCTGCATAAGTGGGCCTTCTTCAATACTTAATAGCATCTTATAAATTAAGATATGTTATAGAAAAGACAACTAGAAAACATCAACACAGTTATAGAATAAAATTACCCCTTACTGACTTTTGCTGAAGAAAAATATTACTTGTGATTTATGGGCTTGATGATTTGGAAAGGAGATTATGGAAAGAATGATATAAATTTAGAAAGGGGGTAAAATATGAAATGTATTTATAACCGCTTTTTTACCCTTTTCCTTTTTTCCCCCTGCTTTGTTTCTTCTCCTTAATTTGCCTCTTATTTATTCATTATTTTTCTTTCTTTTCTAAAATACATATTTTTATCATTAAAAATAATAAAATTAATTATAAAAAATAATAAAAATATGTTTAGAAAATTCTTGTTGAATAAAATTGATAGAAGTAAGAGTTTATCAAAATTAATGGCAACAGCTGTGGGAAAATATGTCTCTAAGTTAAACAGTACAGTAAATTGCTTTAAAAAGGATTAAGGAACACAGGTTGAAGCCCATATTTGGGCATGGAATTTGAGTCAGTAACTATTTCTGAGGATGGTTATGGGAATAAAATGAGAGAGAAGAACAGTATATGCAGTATACATTCCTTGCATTATCTGAGAAAAGGATGGGATATAAATCAACAAAGGTAAAGTGAAGTCAAACAAGTATACTGCTGTTCTATCCAAAATAAATTAAAACTATTTATTTTCTTGGCAACTTTCCTGTGTCCTAATAAGATTTCTAATTTCCTAAATTTAGAAACAAATGAATCAATTATGATTAATATAAAATTATCAATTATGGCTGTTAATGAGCCATACTTATCTTCTCCAGATAATTAACACCTTTAGAAAATGAAGTACAATTGATACTTGAGAAATATTGTAGATTATCTGTTCTGTATGATGTAATTGTTTTCAGTGTATTACATTCTAGTAGTAATAGATACAGAAATCAGATCTACACTACTTTAGAATAATATATACTTATTATCCAGTATCTGAATTCCTACATTCAGCTGATATAGAAAAGGACAAGAGGACAAGACTGCCAACTTGTATTTTCCTATGCAAGAAACCAAGAAAAATATTACAGTATACTGGAGTAACTCTGGTCCTTAACATCAGTGCTACAATTTTTATAAAGTACCATTAATTTTAAAAAACATACCCCAATCGCAGTGGGGTCCCTCTTCCCATTTCACTTGGTTCCAGCAGCGACGAGGACTCCTCCAACAACTCAGGATCCGCCATCTGCTGATGATGCAATTCAGCCTGAATTCACAAATCAATTAATATCTAATGAAACTAGTTAGTGGCATGCAGGGGATGAGGAACCAGGAGATGGATGAGAAAAAGAGAAGAAAAAGCAGAGAAGAAGAAACAGTGCAAAAGAAGAGAAAGCTTAAAGAAAATATGAGGGAGAGATAAAGCATCCTTATATAGCCAGAGAGGGAAAAACAAAACACTCATGAACACAGGTTTTTCAAGCTGGACAACAATTAGCCTAGATTGCAAGTTAAGCTCCAAAGGAATATGATAGAAAAAGAGCAATTTTCTATTTCTCTTGATCTGGAAAGGGGGATCTTTTTCTGTTTAAATGACAACTTACAACTTAATCATGAGCATCTACTCTGTACTATGGAAAATGCAGGAGAGGTTACAACAAAGAATGCTATGGGTCTAGAATCTGAAAATAAGACAAAAGGAATCAAAGTAATTGTTAAAATAAGAAGTTGTCTTGTCAAAGATATGATACAACATATACAAGGCAGTATATATTCCATTTTTAAAAAGTAATTCTGCCTAAATTACAATTAATCTATGCTTGTTCATTTTACATAAATAATTATGTTTGTATTAATCCCTAGAAGGGTAAAGAATGGGCATGAAACACAACTGCTGAGAGTTCTTGGGTTTCCCCCCATAAATTTAGAAGTTATTTCCCCATATATTTTTCTTACTTGTGATTAACTACTAAAAACATCCATATAAGGAATGTAATATTTTTTTAGCAAGATTCCTTATATGACAAGCATCAAAACACATCCAAATAAAAATCTGCAGTTCGAACCACACACTGCATAAAATACTGATCCTCTCTTCCCTTTGAGATTTCAGCATAGCTAAGCTCACTTTTTTTCCAAACATATATAATACTCATCCAAAAGGTAGGCAGAAAAAAAGATGGTTAGAGCAGTGGGGGGAACATATCCAGTCTCCCCATCTTTTCAATTTAGGACTGATAACTCCACAGAAATCAATTCTGGAGATTTCCCCACTGACTCCATAAATGTGTGCACGTGATACACTTGTATATCTGTGGAAATATTCACAAGGTTGTGCAGTGCTTTAGATTTAGAAGTTCATGTGGCTATTCAACAAATACCTTTTAAATCAAACAAATCTTTTCTTAGGCTCACGCTACTGCAGCATCCTTTAAAAAAGCACAACTCCTTTGTTTCCAAAAGGTGCTAACATATATATTAATTATGCTATCTCCTTTGAAACTGAAGGGCTGGTCTAGAACAAAAGCCATAGTCTTGTATCAATAGACTACATAACTAATCAAACTTAAATGCTTGTAAAATAAAATTGTCTATTTGCAAGATTAACTGTTGCTCTACATTTTTTTTCCCTCTCATGAGAAAAAATAAAACAGAATTGATGTATCCACAAATACTTTTTCCTTCCATCATATGGAATTGAAGGAGTAAGCAAAAAAGATGAGCAAGGCAGGAACCAGCAGTTTCCCCTCTAGCAAGATGTTAGAGCATAATTCAGAAGCCTTTCCAAGGCTATCAAAACAACTCTAGAGCACAGGCCTATAGAATGACTGATTTCTGCTAACTGCAGTGGACACATTTTCAGGGTGTATTTGGTTTCATTCTTATCTGCAATCATCTTGCCACATGCGCAGTAAACCAATTTCTGAATAGGGGATTAAGTGCCTAGAGAGCCAAGATTCATAGCCTTGCCAATGTGAGGCCTGACAGCTAGAATTAAAAAAAGAAAGAAAACACAATGGAGATGAGAGTAAGGGAAAGAGATAACTGGACAAGGCAGGAAAGAAAAAAAGCCCTACTTAGACATAGAAAAATGGTTAAATCCATCAATCAAACTGCCTCCTCCAAGCAGTAGCTAATGTTCAAAATTCTTTCTCATCAATTCACACGTTTAATATATATATATTTGTTTGTAAAAATGTAATTCAAAATTCTAATGAAATAAAATCCTTTAATGACTATTATACAGCAATAGCTACTACAGAATAACTGTAATTTTAACCAATATTACTGTTTGATTATATGTAATATACTCAACCCTCATTTAAAAACCAGGTTATTTTTGCAAAAACAACACACGTATATAGTGCATTTGAAAAGAACAATTTGCTTTTTTAACAATTCAAATAGTAAGCATATAAAAATATTTTAGGTTATCATGCACAACATTCCTTGCTTAGCGTGACTTCCATTTTTTTATATAGTGCATTCCATCTTTCTACAAATAGGATGGAATTCACAGATAACCTTTATTTCTATAACTTGTTAGTTGGGAGTCTTGGGAACTTAACTTGCAGAAGCACTAGTGATATAGCTCTGGAAGAATGACAATGCCACACCTCCAGGGACAACATTACATGGGATAACCAAAAAAGTTTTTTCACAAGCCACACAGTTAAAAACATTTTAAAGAAAAGCAAAAGCAGATGAAGCTTTGGAAGGAAAAGTTCTCACCTTCCAATGCATGCAAAGCATTCCTGCAAAATAGATGGCTTTTCATACTTATTTGAAATTGAAGATACATACAGAACAAGCAGCAGGCCATAAAAAAGAGCATGTCCTAGCAAAAAAGCCCATGGAGTTACCAACCTCAGCACAAAAGTATCTGCTAAAGAAAACCTCCCACTGAAAAATCTGGACAATTTAACATAATTGGAGGGAATACAATATATGTTGATTCCCAGGTCAAATAGTACATTCCTTTTGCTTTCAAATTCTTTAGGTCAAATAGTACATTCCTTTTGTTTTCAAATTCTTTTCTCTACAGTTACAATATATTCTTCAAAATATTAACATTCTTTAAAACAAGAAGCTCTTTCTCTGGACTTTGCATTAGGTTCAAGCATCAAAGGATAGACACATCTCAAGAAAATGTCTTTTTTTACATTCTATGCAGCAAAACATTTTAAAACTCCTGCACAAATGTACACAGAGATATATACAACTCTGGATAGATAGTAATGCATCATGTGAATAAGTGTTAATCTTTTTGCTAATATTTGTAATAATGCTATTATTTCTGTCATTTCTAAACAAATGTTTTCTGTTAAGCTCCAATTTTCCACCTAACATTCCAATATCTGTGTCCATTATAATGCTGAATTTTAGCTGTGGAAATATACCAAGAAATAAACCAATTGACCTCCTATAAAATACCTACTCCAGCCTGCATACAAATGTACATGCTCAAATGAAGAATCTTGAATTGAATTTTCAAATAACAATTATTATGGTTATTATTGTATTTCAGGAAGCCTTTCCAAAGAAAAATTAACAAATAGCAGGAAGGTTCAATTCTGACTATTTTAAAATCAGAACTGAGATGCTACTTTAATACTACCTACCATTAATGGAATAGTTTATTTGTAAAGGCAGGAAGGTAGCATTCACAAGTGCCCTTCCGTAAGAATTACGGTATGTATCTCCTCTGCTAAAGCAAGAAACATTAAATTTTCAAAACATTGGAAAGTAAACCCAATTTATGATCATTATTCATAAGCAACTATATAGGAGAAGCAAGTCAAGATCCTTCTTGCAGAAAAACATAAAGCAGGAGACATATTTCACGGTTTCCAGCACCTGCAGCAAAGATCACCAAAAGAAGGAAGAAATGACAGATGCAAATGAGAACTAAAGATGTGACATGATGAAAAGAAAAAAGAAATCAGAGGAAAGAAATAGGAACTGCATGCCATTAACCATTACTTTTCCAGTCTTGTTTCAGTCTATTCTGAACACTTATGGTTTATACATTCCGACATATTATTCCAGTTCTCACTGTGCTCTTTACAAGATAAAGATATGAAGAATGAGAAAATGACTAACAGTTAATCGATTCAAAATCACTGTGTTCTTTTTTGACATGCAAAAAATGGCTACACCGGCAAAGCAAATGTTCTCATTCAGTGAGGCCCAAATTTTCCTATAACTCCACCTCAACTAAATCAAAGTTTGCAAGCCTTGTGAGCCGTTTCTTACCGTTAAACAAGTATTTAAAAAGTCTCTCCCAAAAGATTTATAAAGTCTTCAAAATGTTGAATGCAGCAATCAGTGTGGTTAAAAAAAGGAAGATGGAACAACCAGATCATGCCACCTTAAAAACACACCCTAAATTTGGAGGGCTGCTAACTGGTTAGGTAAAGCTTTTCAAAGAATGAACATGAAATAACTCATAACTATAAAGGCTACATCTCAATGTAAAGTTATAACACAATATATGGAATCCATAATGATCAGTCTGTTTAAGATAGTTCCAGATATAGGCATCTTTTCCCTTTAGTGATACTATTGTCACTATATACTATTTAGAGTATGAAGCTGAAAAGCCCAATTCTCACAAATAGCAATAAAAACTCATCAATGTGTCAGGACTGTATCACTTTAAAATGTATTGGGGTTTAAATTAGGGTCATTCTTATATAAAATATCACATAGATAAAAAATTGACAATGTGGTTTAGAAGAAATTGTCTTAAGAATGCCCAGCACAGACTGTTCCACATCACTGATATATTATGAATCTTATGTTGATAAAATTCAAGCCAATATTCTGGGCAAACTGCAAGGATCTAGGTTACATAGTTAATTTTCATCTGCCCTTGGGGAAAAAACATTTTTCCAGTCACGCCCAAGAGAAAACAACTCAGAATATATTCAGGATGGTATTGGACAATCTACTGAAAATGAAATAGAACTATAATTATATGGAAGACTAATATAAAAATAATTATATGACTTAAAGTTAATATTCACAGCTGATGTTTCCAATATATCCTGTATTCAAAGGTCATTTAAATTAGCTTTTACGCAACTTGGAAGGATCAAATACATGCATGTTGACAAGACCAAAAATCAATTGGACAAGCATATGTTGCACCAAGGTTGGATGTTTTTCCAAACACCTTTTCAAGAGACATTGCGTAACTGTTATAACTAAACTTTAAAAAAAACTAGTAGTTGAGCTTTCTTGTCATGGTGGCAGTCATAAAAATGAAATATTTACTAGCATGTGTCAGTAATTCAAAAACCACAACCTGCAAACTGATATTCAACATCTGACGTTAGGCACCCAGAAATATTTTTGTATAGATTCACCACATTATTCACAAAGCAAGTGAAAGCTGACATAGTCCAAAGACTTCTTACATATATATATATATATACTGTATATATATATAATTCTGTTTACACAACAAATTTCTTCTTGTTTGGAGCACTGCAAGATTTCATATCTTTAGCATATTCAAGTAATCACTGAAAATGCACACAAAAATCAGTTTTTATATAATGTTTGTAAACTGAAAATTAAAATTAAACAACCTAAATTTGAATGGATATCTGAAACCAGGTATAGCCCAGTAACAGGATTTCTGAATAGGAAAGTTTTGACTTAAATTGCTTTTTGCAATGAATGTATTTGTAGATACAGATTTCTTAAATTCCTCCCTTTTCTTTTTGGTTAAAGCCAAACAAGACTACAAAAATCTCAATCAATTCCTTAATCTATAGATTTGGAAGAAAAATGTTCCAGATAAGTGAGTTTAGGATCTCAGGCCATTAAAATTATGCTTACAGAAATAATAAGTAATGTGTTGTTCTTCACAGTTCTTGGATTATATTTTTTATATGCTTGAGACAGTAAGGTCAATAGTCAAGAAGCATAAGAAATGTAGGAGAAAAGTGTAGAAGGTGATTGTCCTTCCCTGGTTTAGACATAAAAGGATATTCAATCACTTCTGCTTTAACGCTCTAAAAATATAGCACTTTATGTCTTTGTACTTCTGTAAGCTCTCTTTTCTACCCAACTGTAAAACATGCTTAAAGACATTCCAAATCCTTGTGTGCCTGTAAGATGTCCTAGAAACTAGGGGTACAAATAGATTTTTCTATAACCAATTCTCAAATGTTTATGAACGAAAAACAATTTGGAAGAACTCATCGGAAGCAAATAGAGCTGCCAACCCAAATTGCAACTTAAGCAGGCATTTGTAAGAAGAAAAACAGTGGGTTATGATGGGCTGGCCCAGATGATAAGAATTGAAAACATTCCGATATTCTGACCTCATCAAAAAATTGTTGAGTTTTTCTGAGTATGAATTTCAACTCTGTTAGCTCTAGGAAATTCCTTTTCAGGGCTTCCTGATTGGTGTTGATCTCCTTGAGCTCATTCTCTATTTTCTCAAAGTTTGCCTAGAAAGTGGTAGGGGAGGAAACAAGAAAAAGTAAAGCTATTATCAATATACTTCAGACATGTTTATTTTTTCAGTGTGCATACTAATGTAAACTTCAATAAAGAGACATGATATAGAGTAAGACAGACACTAGCCTCAATATAAAGTTCAATAAGTTTAATAACCGTACATTTTATATCTATTTATATACAAATTATATCAATCAATTACTGAAATTTCATTCTTGAATGTTCTCAAATATTTTCCAGTTCCTGATATAGGCATGTCACAAAAAGTAGGAAATAAGGATAGATTTTGGTCCTAGAATGAATCTGTGTCGATATGCACATTTCCCTATGATGTGATATACCCTGTTTCCCAAAAAATATGACCTATCCTGAAAGTAAGTCCAACCTTAATTTTTACATGTGACCCAATATAAGCCTTATCCCAAAAATAAGCCCTACTTAAGATCCCACCCACTTGAGTACACCGGTAAAAATTAAGCTAGGATGGGGATAGTGGGGTGGAGCTGCCCTACTGCTTACCTTTGGACAGTTGCAACCAGGCCTCGCACACCCTGACACTTGCCTTGTTGGCCCATTTCTTCTGCAGCCAGCAAGGCTAGCAAAGCTTTTTTGAAGGTCTCTGTATCTCTGATCTCAAGGATTGATCCGGAGCTCTCTTATTGGCTGCAGAGGCCTTCAAGAAAGTCTTGCTGGCTGCAGAAGAAGTTCCTAAAGGCCTCTGACAGCAAAAATGAGGCTGGGGGCGACGCACACAAGTGAGGTTAGTCAATGGATGGCATCCCCCAAAATAAGACCTGATGCCTTTTTTGGTGGCAAAAAAACAACAAAGTCAGGGTCTTATTTTGGGGAAAACACGGTAGGTTTTTATACCCAAGCGCCAATTTTCACTGGAACATATTATTAAAGCTGCTTATTTTTTTCATTCATTGTATATTAGCATAATATACAACTTGTTTCTGGTGCTATAACAATCTGTTTAGTAGCCTTGCTATTTATGATGTTGTAGCCCTTATTGAAAGTACATTTGTGGCTTTATGTATTTGGTAATGAAAAGCAGAATATTTATTGCTAAATGTACAGTATTCAAATTTATATAGCTATTCACTAAAATCAATATTGAAGGAATTTGCTCTTGAGAAACCAGTTCAAAGCTAAGGAAAATATTGTATTTTGCACTTTTTTCTAATGTATTCAATTAGAAGAAGCTTATATTAATACCATGGGGAGGCACGGTAATGATAATTCATTGTTATAGCCCATTTTACAAAATAGTTTTGCATTGTCAACATACTACACTTTACATAGTGTATTTACCTCCAAATCAATCATGTCTCGAGGAAATGGCACTTCTGGATTCTCTCCGGTGTCTGTGATAGGAATGTTGGCCTTCTTAATTTCTTTTTCCACAAATCCTGAAAAAGAGTCATAGTGGCAATATGATTAAAAATTTGCAGTACTGAATGAGAAAACAAATTAATCAATGATTCTCAACTCCAAATCCATAATTTCAGTTTATTCCTCCATTCTCCAGACAACTCATTCCATTAAAAAATAAAAGATATACAAAACTCAAAATTAACTCTTTAATTATACTTGTACGTCACGTTGAGTTTCTGAACAAAAGTCAGAAAATAAATAATTAAAGTCACTATTTTAACTAGCAAGTTTTCATAGTACAGGATGCACTTCTTTTTCCAGGCAAGGTTCATTTTCATACTTTGCAAGTGTGTAGAGATCACAATCCAGAAAGCTGGAGGTACTAAAGAAGAGGCTGTTTTTATCTTTGTTTAAACTGAGTTATAACTAAATACAGCTACTCAACACTTTCTGGTCATATAGTTACTAAACATTCTTGTCACATTAAAAATACAATTTATAAGAATTTCCAATAACCTTTAGTAGCTGCATACCTGACCTTCAAGGCATTTACTCAGCTCTGTTTTTATTCAAATTTGAATTATGGAAAAATTGTGCTTTAATATATATTTGTAATCAAATTTGGTAAAAGGGTTATCTGTCTTTTCTTTTGTTCCCCATCTTATTAGACCTAAATCAAAGGGTTAGTTTGAGGTTAATTCTGTCAACCTATTATATGGAAGGCTTGAACAAGCAAAAAAAGACTCCTATATTCCTTTTTCTACAGCCTCTACAGGAGATATCACAGAGATGTAGAAATATAAAGTAGGGAAAGGGACAGCCACAATTTCTTCATTCTACTTTTTATTTTGTTTTTAAAAATTAAATTCATTCAAACCAGAAAGCAGCTGGCAAAGATGTTTGAGATAACAGGCAAAATTGTTGCTAATCAATGTAACATAGTTGGTCGCAATGTTACATTATTTTGCATCCAAAAAATGAATAAACAATTTATCCACAAAGAGTAGTCTATTGTGATAGAGGTATTTTATTTAAGACACAACACAGGCTACAATAAAATAAGGTTTATCTATTTTTGGCTTAGTGTGTTATGCTAATTCAGTCATTTTTCTTAATAAAAAATAGTTTATAAGCATTATCTATGAATCCAGTCAATTTTGATTCATAGATAATCCTCATTTAATGTCAATAATTGTAATAAGTAATTTGGTCATGAAATATAGCTGCACCGCTTAGCAATATAAATTCTGGCACTTCTGGTCACCATAATTAAGTAAATCACAAGTGTTAAGCAAGGAGGTCACATAGTTACCATTTGGGACCTCTTGTCATATTACCCATTGACTTTGCTTATAGGAAGCCAGAAAAGAAGGTCACAAATGGCCATCACATAACTTAAGAATACTGTGATGACATAATTGTAAGCAGGACACCACAATTACATGACCTTGAGGATGCTGTGCCAATTTAAGTATGAGTTAAGTTAACTTAAGCATCATAAGTGCCATTAATTCAGTACAAACTGTAAGTTTGAATGGCTGCAGTATGAGTGGTTGTTAAGTGAGAACCACCTGTATTCAAAAATCAGAACTGACACAAAGTGTCATGCCCTTGTTAGAGTCGGACTCTGAGGGAGAGGAGGAACAACAGACAGGGAGTGAAGATGTGGCTCCAGAGGTTGTGGAGGAGGCTGGGAAAGGGCAGAGGCTGGCTGGGAAGTCAGAGGAAGAACCAGGCCCATCCCCTCTTCATCCTAGGACATGCAGGAAGGAACAGAGAAGGAAACAACTTGGCTTATGAGAGAGGAAGCGGCCATGATCCTTTTCATTGGTTGCAGCTGGGAGAATAGTATATAAGAGAGATGGTTAAAACACAGCGTTGCCAGAAGCAAAGCTTGTTTTATTTTGGGCTGAAGTTATCTTGGTTGGTGTCCTTCCAACAAACCGTGCCTTGTTATCTCCTTGTAGTTGGTAATTACTTATCTTGGTCTGTTGTGGAATTTCCTTCATTGTAGTTTGTTTTGGTTTTTTATTTCAGCTCTATCTGCTCATTAAGTTCGGACTGTATTGCTTTCTTTTGAAGACTATTTTTGAACAAGTTTTATCTCCAGCTGAGAATTATTGAACAGTGGGGCCAAGTTGGAGGCATTAAAGGACATTTATTTACGTTTTGGATTTTGTTACGTTGGTGTACACTCCGGGTCATTATGTTAAGTGTGAATCTAGCGTATATACAAATATATACACAACCTAATTTAATCCTATAAACCTATACCAAGAGTGCAAGTAAAAGAAAACAATAACATACTGAGCTTCCTGTCCATCTCTTCACATCTTCGGACTTCATTAACAAATTTACGTTGGAACACATTCACATCAGGGTTTAGCTGTCAATAAATACATTTAATAATAATGTTATATACTAGTATATGCAGAAGCATGGATAGACTGTCATTTTCTGTCTCCAACTTCACTTCAGAAACTAGTTCAATAATTTCATCCTTGAACTTTTAAGGGATGAAATAGCAGACTGTTCCATAAAAAGCAGAATCAATGACTGCAATGAAGAAGCCAGTGATAGAGTGGCTCTTCAAACTTCTCTGGAGAAAGAAAGGACATCAGATTGCTTACAAGTGTTCATATGGTTGCTCCTCAGGAAGAAACAAGAGAGTGGGTTCTGGCAGTTTTTGAAAACTGAGAGACAAGAAAACAGTCATCTTGCTCAAACAGTATAACTTTTAAAAGCAGTTGGTACTTTTAAAAGAACCCCAAATTTGCATACTTCCTTTTCTACTTGTTTTATCTGGAAATTGCTTATTAAGTACTTTTCTGCTATTAGAATTTTCTAGAAGAACAAATCTAAAAATATGTGATGAGTCTTCTTTCGATCCTTAATGAAATAAAAATTTAATTATGAATGTATCTTTTTTTAAAATTGAGATAAAACACCAGAAAGTTCATTGAGATTTTTATTTTAAAAATTGTATATTGATTTATTTATTTATATAAAAAATTTATACAGTTGTCCATCTTATACCAAATTCTGGGAAGCTCTCAATTAACAATTAAAACAAGTATGTATGTATGTATGTATGTATGTATGTATGTATGTATGTATATATATAGCTGAACACATTAAAAACCTGGCACCAAAATTGAGCATCCACATGTACTACTTTGTTAATTCCCCTCATCCACCTCACTCTATTGCAGCACTTGAAGAAAAAGCAAGTCTAAAATTCTTTTCAGAAGGCTAGGAGGATGGAAGACTGCCAAACTTCAAGGGGAAACGTGTTTCACACAGCAGAGACTGCTATGGAAAAGACATCCTACCTGGATCCCATTTCATGACAACATTTAAGGGAAGGGATTCGGAGCATGTCTACATGGCTGAGCCATTCTGTCTTGCTAGGGTTGAATCAAAAGTAAAAAGAATATAAATTTGGTACATTTGATCAAGGTTAAAAGAGAAATGTGATCTCTTTTGGTAATCTTTAATGGACTTTTGCTAATATCAGGACTGAAATGGCAAAGTTTTATGAACTTGTGTGGATGGGATACCATGTTGTATTTTAAGAGAAGATGACAAATTATTAAATATATTGATACCTATGGTGATGAAGAAGGGGTCACTTCCTTATATTTCTTTTTCTTTACTATATTTTTATTTTTTCTTTCTTTTCTGTTATTTCTATTCTTTATGTCTTTTTCCTTTTTTTGCAGCTATTATTTTTGTTTTTATTAGTTTTTGCTAATAATTATAATCTTCAGTAAGATTAACTTTAAAAAGTGAGTCTTATCAAGTATAGCTGCTATAAATCATAGGCCTGAATCATCTCATACTTAATTGAAAGACGTATCATTAATGCTTTTGAAAGAAATAAAAATTCTGAGCACAAAATCATACTTTAGGGGCATAATAACTATACTAATGAACCAAAGCAAATACGTACATCTCGAAACTGGACCTTCCCAAGTTCTCCCAATTCACTGACACAGCAGTATGCTGCTTCAGACTGAAGAAAAAGTTGTGCAAGGGTCATTTCCTCACTTCGGAAGAGCTCACCCATGGTGAAAAAAGAAGCCAATCAAATTAGGATGAGAATCTTCATATACCTTCAGGGGGGAAAAAAAGCATTAAGATAAGTTTACATAAATCCTTCCTGGGGTCAAATTATTCTTGAAGCAGGGGTTAAAATGTTTAACTTATGTTATGATATTAATAGTGACAAATTATCATGGCATTCTTAGGAAATAAAAATGCTGAGTAGGCTTTATGTTAATTGGGGAACAGAGAGTTGGAAGACTAGAGGGATAGCAGTGAGCAACTTCTATATCATTAGTTTACTATCTATTAAATGACTGTTTGTATGTGGACATGTCCATTAACAGACTCATTTTCTGGCATGCTCAGTTTACCCTCAATATCAAGTCTGACCAACAACTTCCAAAAGACTGCCATATCCGATCTTAATGTGCTATTCCACATTTTGAATGTGTAGATATCCATATATCTGTAATTATTTCAATTCTTAGAAGCTGCAGTATAACATTACCATTATCAGTGACTTCTATGTACTGTTAATGTATCTTATATGCCATTCAAATAATCCCAGTGTAAACAGTTCATCTGTAGATAACTGTTTTTGAGATCAATCATCCATGCTTGAGCCTAAGCTTCAAACATCAGTCCATTCCATAACATCAAACAATATCTTCTGTTTTAGAAACACTACTGATGCTTTATAGTTGATAGCTATTTCAGTGAAGGAGCTATTTTTTTCCGCCCCATCATACTGCAGCAGATTCATCAGTAGCCTAAGGATCCAAATTCAATTTTCAGTAAAGAACACACTATATTCAGAGATCATAGACCAGGGGTCTATGGAAGCAAGTAATACTTGGTATTGTGGTATCTCCAATAAAGGTCATAAAATGCTTATAGAGATAAAAATGATAAGCTAACAGAGTCTAAGCAAATCCATGGAATATTTGAATTCCCATCAACCAAAATGCACTGTTTTCTATTTATAAAACTTCACATATTAATTACTAACACAAAACACTTTGTAGAATGCCTTACTATGCTTCCTATTAATGAATTAAGCATGCCAATAAGCAGAATTATGTTATCCACCTGAGAGCCTGTAGAACCTGAACAGCTTTCAAAAGATGTGTACTTCCTCTTTTTAGACAATAGGATGCACAATAAGTTTTAATGTATGTGTGATAGTATATTTTGCATTAAAATGATACATGCAAGCTACCACTCAAAGTTAACTGGAAACCACAAGGTACAAAACTACATTTCCAGCCTCTTGCTCTTTATATTGCAGGCTGACAAACAGAATAAGAAGCCTTGTACCAAAACACAATGAAAGCCATTATCCAATCTAAAAGAGAAGATTTAAAAAGGGAATTATTATCATCATGGTTGAAAAATGTTTAGTGAATGTAACATATTAACAAAACTAGAAAGATCTAGCAGTCAGTCTAAAAATCAGAATAGTAAATAATCAAAGATCCTAAAGCTACAGATACCAAATTTAGGTTACAAAATTCCACATTATCAATAGATGGCAGAAAAAGAAACAGATTCTTTGCTGCTGTCTAATGGCCATCCAGATTTGTGCAACCTAGATCAGGTAACATGTCTCCAATGAATCAATGATATTTTTATTCATATATTATCCTCTGCTGCTTAACCAAACCTTTTCCAAATTCCACAGATAATTAACATTTCTACTTTTAGTAATCATGGGGTAGGGGGAGCCAGAATGACACAATAATTTTTGAGAAGCAGTCATTCCTTCCGATCAAATTAGTATTCTTTTCAATTTATTTGCATTTCATATCCTGCCCCATCAAATCACCAAATGAACGTCAGAAAGCTGCTAGTACCTTTTCCACATCACAGGATCTACTGCCCACCCACTCCTAGCATATATTCTTCACAATTATGGTAAAGAAGTGGAAGGAAAACTATCAAATATTCCTCCTTCACCAACCAACGGCCTTCCATGATCATCCAGTCCCCAATATCCCTTGATCATAAGGCCCATATACAATTATAGAGCAATATAAAATAATCTTTCCCTCAACATGCCTGCCCACTCAAAAATGCTGACGAAGCGTCCCCTCCTTTCAGTGATGACCCAGGTATGATCTCAAGCAAAACCTTGCTCCCCCCTCTAGAGATGACCCCGTCAATGTCCAGCTTCCCCAACCTCACACCGATAAAATCCTCTTTTTCTCTCCTTTTTAACGAAACAACACGGATTAAGAGAGCAAGAGACTTAAGCATTAAACTGGAAGAATGCCAGCATCAAAAGCCCCTTCATAAAACCACTGAATCCCGCGACCACAGAGATCAGATCGCTCACCCCACAATTGCCTACTGCTGCCCCCACCCCCCAGAACAAAGGGCATCCTGCCATTCCTGCTCAGTCCCACCCCAGAAAGAGAATCTCCTACCAAAGCATCCCCCCCCCGCGCACCTATTTACCTCCCCAAGGGTGACCCACAGCCTCAATCCACAGCTGCCGCCTGAGCTTCCGTCAATGACGTCACCACGTAAAGACGTAACTCCCTCCTACAGAACAGCCTGGTCCGGCCTTCTGCTCTTGGATCTGTTCTGCTGCTGGTGGGCGGGGCGTCATTGGTGTTGCTTGTGTGGGGAGATACTGACGGCTTGCTTCTTCAGTGGCCCATCTGCACGGAGAGTTATGTTATTCGTCGGGAGTTTTTTCCTTTCGAGTGGGATGGACAGAGGATTTAATCCGGAAAACGGGGTTCATCGCCAATCCTCCCTTTCTCGCAGGATCAGGGGCAACGAAGGGGAAGACTCTGATCGGGCTTTTTCAATGTAATGCACTGGAGATCTCTTGGACTCCAACTCTTGCAATTCTAGTTCTAAGTATCTACAGAGCGCCAGTTGAAGAAGATCAATTTATTATTGATTCCTATTTAATATTTTTTGATACTGCTTGATGGACAAAAATATTTCAGAGCCGTTTAGAAAATAGGATACTCAAGAGCAATAGAATACTGTTACCCAGTATTTAATATTCATACTACAATTTCTCTGGAACACATTGTGGGGTTTTGGGGAGGAGGGGTGGTGATTAACAGAACTCTTGTCTTTTGTAAGGTTTCTAATATATTATGTTTTAGTGATATATGTTACTTTTCTTTTGAATTATTTTTTTTTAATAATTTCGTATGCCACCCAAAGTCATGATGTCTGTATTGGGCAGCCATATAAAAAAAATAGATAATTTGTCTTCATGAAAATATGTATAATTTGCCTAGCCATTGAGGGGTTGAAGTTATTAATCCAGTACATTACTAATTCACTAAATGTTGCAACAGTGATACATTTGCAGCCCTGTAAATCAGATTCCTTAAATCCAGAAATGCATTTTACTGTATCTTATAACTGCATCCCTTAATAAGAATAAATATTGGAATATTGGAATATGCCTTTATTGGCCAAGTGTGATTGAATATACAAGGAATTTGTCTCTGGTGCATAAACTCAGTATATATACAAACAGCATATATACAACTCAGCATATATATATACAACTCATATATACAACTCAGCATATATACAAACCATCAAAGGGATGTGATCGATCAAAAATCCAAGACACAACAATAAATCATAAAATACAAATAAGAAAAGTTAGTAGGAAGATGGGAAGATGAGAAGCATAATAGCAATACAGCCATACTACATGGGTATTCTTTAGGCATAAAGAATGCTGTGAGAGTTAGATACTTAGCAGAGTGATGGCATGGGGGGAAAGTTACCACTGTGTCTAGTTGTTTTGGCATGTAATGTTCTATAGCAGTGTCCTGAGGGGAGAAGTTTAAAAGTTTATGTCCAGGAGTGAGAGATCTGTAGATAATATCCCAGCCCTCTTTCTGGCTCGTGTAGTATACAGATCCTCAGTGGAAGACAGGCTAGGTACAGTTGAAGTCTGTACCTGTCCTGTTTGGTTGTTGTGTCAAACCAAACAGTTATAGAAGTGCAAATGACAGACTCAATAATTTCTCTGTAGAACTGTATCAGCAGATCCTTGGGCAATCTGAGTTTTTTGAGTTGACACAGGAAAAACATTCTTCTTGTGCCTTTTTAATGATAGTCCTAATGTTAGGTGTCCATTTCAAGTCTTGGCAGATTATAGAACTAGAAACTTGAAAGTCTCTACTGTTGATACTGTGTTGTCTAATATCCTATGGTAAAATAGTAGAACTTCTCCTAAAATCTACTGTCATCTCTACAGTATTGTGTTCAGCTCCAGATTATTTTGGCTGTACCACAGGGCCACTGGTTCAACCTCCCCTCTGTATGCAGACTCGTCATCATCTCAAATCAGACCAATGACTGTTGTTTTACCTGCAAACTTCAATACTTTAACAGAGGAATCCTTGGGGATGCAATCATTGGTATAGAGAGAAAAGAGTAATGGAGAGAGCACACAGTCTTGGAAGCTCCTGTACTAATTGAGCAAGCATTGATGTGATTTTACCTAGCTTCACCTTCTGCTTCCTATGTTAGACAGTTTATAATCCATCTACAAGTGTGTTCAGGCACAGCTAGTTCCAACAGTTTAAAGAGAAGGATTTGTGGAATGATATTACTGAATGCTAAGCTGAAGATGAGTAAAGAATAACATGAATTGTTTTATGCATTTATTATTTTACAGAGAATGCATGATAATGAGAATGTTCTGTATAAATATAGCTTGACTACTTGCTGAATGCAACTATAAGAGTATATGATGGGTAACGTAATAATAAATGGAATGCTGAGGAGTGATGCTGAGAATAAGATGATGTTACCTTGGTTGTTTGTTGTACTTATGGATCAATATATAAGGAATGCTTATGGTGATTTGAGACGTGTGTCAGTTGGGAATATAAATGTATATGTTCTTATGTGCTGATAAATGTATATATTTGGTTTATTGATCACATGACCAATGAAATGCTGCAATAGTGTAAAAAATAATCATAAGTCACTTTTTTCAGTGCGGTTGTAACTTCAAACAGTCATTAAAAGAATTGTTTTAAATCAAAGATCACATGTATAAGGGATAGGATATATTGTGACTTCAAATCAATTTTCCCTCTTGACAAGTGCCATTGCAGGTTTTTTTGGCAGCATTTTTAAAATAGTTTGCCAGTTCCTTCCTATGGTTGAGAGAAAAAGTGACTGGCCCAATGTTACAGCACTAGAACTCAGAATAACCTAGGTTCTAGTCTACTGCCTTAACCACCATGTCATAAAAATAAATTAAATGCTATGCAAATGGGTATTTAATAGCAAGAAGAAATGCAGTGGAGAGTGAATGAATGTGAATTAATTATAGGAGTGTGCGACAAGCAAAGAGGAAGGGGATGAGCAAGAAAACATTGGTTGGATAAACTTGATGAGATTCTGAAAAAGATAAAAGTACAGTAGGTCAAATACCAGAAGGATCTATGAAAGAAAGATGGATTGTGAAGAAAGAAAGATAAGAGAGAAATATAGTGTTGATATGAGCTAATTTTAGATGTTTCCTTTCTTTTAGAATATCAATTTCTTTAAGGTATTATTTTTAATATCTTTGTATTTGTTCTGCATGATGTCAGTTACCTAGCAATTTCTTATATGTAGGATTTTTTTCTTCGTATTCTCCCACAAGTATAGGATCTACCTTTTTTTTCATATTAACAAAGTGTTGATCCACTGGTTGCAACAGTAATTGATTGACTGGCTTGTCACTTGAGCCTGACGCATGAATAAATAATGAAGATGTCTGATGTCGTTTTGAAAACTGAATCATGTGTTTTATGTAGTTACGAATATATATATTTATCTCCCAAATATCAGGCTAGTAAACCAGACTTTATTTTTACAAGCCAAAGTAAATTAAAATAACTTCCACATCCTGGCTGGGGTTTATAAAAACTGAAGGATTGTACCTCTACAAGATATTGGGTACGGAGGTCTGATCTGAGCAATAAAAATGATGTGCTCTACCTTAATACCTCTGTCAAATATCTATTCTTTCAGATGTAATAAAAAAAGCACCAGAATTAGTTAATATTGTCAAATGGGCCAACCATTTGATTCATATAAGGCCGTTTACATTGTTCAAAAGGAATGTCATTAACAATTCCTTAACATTAACAATTCCTTGAATGCATTCAGACTAGGTACATTATTTCTACTCAAGGTTAATCTCTATGGAGATTCTTAATCATCTAGGCCCTAATGGTCCCTAAAGTGCTTTTCCAAAAGGCAACTGGATTTCCTTGTTTTTTTCCTTCAAGGAAACTTCAACTTCTTGAATGAGAAGCAAAACGTTTTCAAGGATAAAGCTAAGGAAGTCCAGTTGCCTTTTGGGTCTACTTCATGCTGGTTTTTCCAACTGTGCTGAAGCCATCTTTTAATTAATTAATTTTTATACTGCCCATCTCCTCTACAAGGTGATTCTGGGTGGCTATATAGAGTTTGTCAATATCAATTGTATTTAGAGCCACAGAATTTTCTCGTTAGTATTGCCTATGCTAACAGGAGTAAGAAGCAACAAATTCTAGTTAGAAGAATTTTTTTTTTGTAAAGCCAGTGACTTGTAGCTGCTTTACAACAGTTAGGGAGAAGATTAGCTCTCTCTTCAAAGGCTAGTTTTAAATCATGAATTCCAACCAAACAAATAAAACAATGTTTTATTTTTCCTATCCACTTTTCCTTTTATCTTGGGTACTTTTAGACAAATGCTGAGATCATCATGTCTGTCATTTTTAAATTGAAACTAGAAGGATTTATTGTGGATTTTTTTCAAGAGCACAGAATTATAGAATTCATGGAATTATGCTTCCTAAAATCTTTTGGAGTACATTCTTACTCTCAATAATCTAAATCGGGGATAGGAAAACAATGGCCTTTTTATGACTTGTGGACTTCAACTCCCAGAATTTTAGGAGTTGAAGTCTACAAGTCATAAAGAAGCCCTCTTCCCCACCTCTGGTTCTAAATAATGAAAATAGTCCACCTAAATCAAGAACTTTTCTTTGTATTCTGAGATGTTTATACATTCATGATCCTTATGGAATTCATCTCCATTCATACAGCTTTCATTTGAATTAAAGAGACGTTTCTTTCTCAGTGAGACCCATAATATTCGACCACATTGGAAAGCATGCAGAATAAATCCTCAGATTTGTTTATGGCAAGTTACCAATTCAGAATTGCTTCACCTCCATAAAATGTCAACTACTGTTGCAGGCAACACTTAATCAGTACTGTACAGTAAAAAAAACAAGCCTTGCCATACAATAACAAGTGTTTCTGCACCAAAGTGCTGAATTTTTTAATCCAGATAGCCATTTCTGAAGTACATTGCATGCTATTTTGACCAGATAGATATCTGTAGCATAGCTGAATTCAGTTGTACTACCAGTTGTGTATACTGAGTGATCCAAGCTGTGTGTGTGTCCTAAACTCTCACTGAATGTCTTTAAAAGGAAATATGAAACTTTAAGCTGGCCTCGCTCAACACAGAAGTTTCTGGGTTATCCCTG